TATCTAACAACTTGTTAGGAGTATCACATAAGAGCATCATCCACACAAAGTTTGTTAGCTATACCAGACCTTTTCAAACTCTAATTACATTTGAATCATCAAGGACTGGATAAAGATGCAGTAGTTTCTGGAGTTGGGGTAAAAGTCTGAATGTCTAATTAGCTCCCAAGTGACACTTGAAATGCTGATATGTAGATCACACTTGGTGAAGCAAAGAACCTGTTCACTAAAGTTCAAAGATAATAATCACCAATTCTCTGAGAGGAGCAGAGGAAACAGGGAGGTAAGAATTTTGCCATGTATACAATGGGGGTTCAAGAACAAAGTTGTGAGAAGTGTTTCCTGGAAGCAAGGGCTTATGCTAAAAACCCATTCAGTAAATCCTTGCAGACTCTGTTCTAAAGAAAGGAATGTCCTTACTAAATGTTTGTGTATAAAATGAACTTTCATTAGAAAAGGCCAATTATTTTCAACAACTGAAATTAAAAACACTTACTAGTTCCATTTTAGTACTTCTGTATTCAATTCAAGAGTTAAAGTATTTGTCTAATTTATTCAACAAAAGTCCTTCAGAATTATTCATCTACACCCAAATGTTTTAGTCCTCAAGCTTTGCTTTGTTGCTCTACCATTTATACAGACCGGTGCTTTCCAACTGGCTGAGTCACCGATGTGGCTCAAGATACTCATCTTCTCATCCTTGGAGAAGGCCAGGAAAACAGCTTCACACTGGGCTCCTGTAACTAAAACAAGCAAAGCAGGGTTCTACCAAGCCAATATTTATTTTAGCAACCTACTCCAAGCATTCCCCTTTCTGTCATGTAACAATCTATGGATCGCCTAGACAAATTCATATTTTAAGTTGCTAATTTGTACAACATGACAACAAAATTTGGTCAGGGGAGATGTCTAATGAGAAAGCAAGCCAGGTACCCCGGCAGGTACAACAGCACTTGGTGTCTCCAATATCAATCTTCTCGCACGCTAAATATTCACATCCATTTGTGATAAAACTGGAAATGGTAATCTCTCTAAGAATGCTTATTTTCCAATTTACACTTTCAATATTAGTTTAATACTACTTTGTACATAGATTTTAATACTACTATGTACAGGTAGATTCTAAATCTATAAATATCCTCACATAGAATTATGATAATTAATTTGTCAAGGAAACATTATATTATTTCAAATTAAATAACTGGACTATCATTCTTGGCTAGTTTTAGAGTTCTGCAGTCATTTCATTCTCTACTGTGTAAAAGTACTTCATCTGTGGCAGCATCAAAAATTTGAAAAATTTGTTATTAAAGCATGCCATAATAGAAACACAGGTCTGTAAAGTATCTAAATTATTCCCTTTTATATGCAAACTAATAAAATCAAAATGTTATTAAGGTGGTTTTTCACCCCTTTGGTTTTTTGAGACAGGGTTTCTCTGTTGCTTTGGAGGTTATCCTAGAACTTTCTCTGTAGATCAGGCTGGCCTCAAACTCACAGAGATCTGCTTGCCTCTGCCTCCAGAATGCTGGAATTAAAGGTGTGCACCACAACACCTGGCTTATCAAGGTGTTTTTATGAGAAATAGCATATTAACTTCAAAGCATAAAACCCAAAATAAGTTGTCTTGATGGGATCATTTTATATACATATATGTGTCTATATTTAATTTTAACATTGTTGAAATAATACATTTTATGTTTTATCATAACTATATTGTGTAAAGAAATTATCTTCTGTGAATCCTATATACCAAGTACCCAAAGTTCTTCCAGTTTGTCTCAATGTGCCACATAAATATTATTTTCTAGGTTGAGAAAACCACTACATGTTGCCTCTAGCATATATTCTATTCCAAAACATCTTCTACTTTAGTTATGGATTCAACATGCAGTTGTTATTACCTATGGCACACTTTTAGGTCTAAATAATGACTGGGAAATATTAAACTAAGTTATTTCAATGCCATCCCCTTTATTTTTAAATAATTCCCTGTTTTGTTACCCAGGCTGGATTGAAGCAATCCCCCTTCCTCAACATTTTTAATGCTTTCTGAAAACTTAATATTTTCTGAGTAGTATTATATTGTGTCTGGAAATGTTCTTTTTGTTTGTTTAGTTTGCAATGAATTTTTATACAAATTGCATGTATGACAGGGTACATATTTAATTTTACAGTAGCATAAGTTTCTAAGGCCGAATAGATTCAGTAGGAGCCTATTCTTTCTTTCATACTAACCTTGTTCACATTACTTTCCCAAACATTTACTAAGTTATTAACTGAATCACTGGGCATTGGGAGCAATCACAATGGGCATGCCATAATAGAAATAGAGTTCTGTCTAGTATCTGAATCATTCCCATCTTTATAAAAACTAGTAAGACCAAAATGTTATTAAAAACAATTTAAGGACTGGAGAGATGATGGGAGATGTCATTCTTTAAATATGTTTCTCATACTGGTTAATGAATAAAGCACTGTTGGCCAATAGGAAAGCAAGATAGGTGGGACTAGGAGACAAGGAAGATTCCAGGAAGTAGTAAGGAGGAGTCAGCATGTAGAGACCTGGGAGCATAATGCCAGTCCCTCTCTGGTAAGATGTGGAAATACTTAGATTAATAGAAATGGGTTAATACTTAAGACAGAGCTAGCAGATAAGAACAAGTAACTGGCCAACAGCATTATATCAAATACAGAGTCTCGGTGTGTTAATTGGGGCTGGCGCAGTGGTGGATCCGGCGGCAGGAAAAACTACTCGTAACAGAGTGACAGCTGTTGTGTCACACAAACAAGAATCTGGGTTTAGATCACAGCAACCATGTTAAAAAAAAAAAAAAAAAAAGAAAAGAAAGAAAGAAAGAAAAGAAAAAGCCCAAGCCTGGCAGTAGTGATGCACACCTTTAATCCCAGCACTTGGAAGGCAGAGACAGGTGGATCGCTGCGAATTCGAGGCCAACCGGGTCTAAAGAGCTAATTCCAGGACAGGCTCCAAAGCAAAAATAAATAAATAAATAAATAAATAAATAAATAAATAAATAAATAAAATCCCAGATTATCCTCAGCACTGTGAGGGGCAGAAGCAGGAGGATCACTGGGGCTTGCTGACTGCCAGTCTAGTTCCAGGTTCAGTGAGAGACCTTGTCTCAGGGGAAATAATGCAAAAGGTAATAAAGCAGGACACCTAGCATTGTGTTCCAGGCTCTGAGCACACACACAAATATGCATAAGCATCCAGCGCACATATAGAAGTCCCACACACAAACACCTTAGCACCAGTGAGCCCCATCCTCCATAAACTTTTCAAGTCTTGCCTCGCCTGCTTGGAGTGGAAAAGAATTCTTGCTTCCTTTCTCTGTTTGTTCTGAAGTCTTTTCCCAATAGCACACACACACACACACACACACACACACACACACACACACACACACACACACACTCAGGAGGTTGGAGAATCTTTTTCAGAAGAAATACACTCTCTCACTTTCTTTTCCTTGCAATTTTAATTTTGGACAGAGTCCAAGCATTCCGGCTACCAAGATGCACAAAGTAACCGTCATGAACCTCATCACATTTCCACTTAGGCCAACTTCCTGTTTTGTTGTTCAAAGGTGGGAAAGACCCAGGTCAAAGAGGAAGCAGCTGAGAGCTGGCCAGGATAAGCAAAGCCTAGACCCTTGCTACTCAAAAGGCAGAGAGCTCTTCTACAGAAGCACTATCGCTGTCGCTGTCCAGACCTCGGTGCTGAATACTCTAAAGGCTGGGTAGCTCTGGCCAGTTCAATCTCTTGGAAGGAAACCAGATGGATTCTGTCAAGGAAGCCTGAATGCTGTCTCACAGGTAGGTGTGGGGACGTTCTCTTATTCTCTATCTAAGGAAAAGCTGTCTTTCACAAAGATACATGGTGTATTTAATGTGAAAATAGCTTTAGGTCAGTGCCCAAATTGAAATCTCCAGTGAGGGAAAAAATAGAAAAAGTTCTGGGATAATGAAATTTACTCCTCCCTTTCCTGAGTCAATACGAAAGCCTTTGGGGCACTGAACCTCCTTATTGGAAATTAAAACGTTTTCCCATTTTGAAAACTCATGTTGCTAGTTAATCTCTCCTCTCTCTCTCTCTCTCTCTCTCTCTCTCTCTCTCTCTGTGTGTGTGTGTGTGTGTGTGTGTGTGTGTGTTAGAATAAATACTGCAATGATAGTGGCACTGGGTTCCAAATGGTCTGGGGTAGACTTTTAGATATCGCTTGAACAGGGCTCAGAGACAAGAGAGGAGAAGTTTTGAGTAATTTAAAATGTAAAACATAGTTTGGAAATGTTTCAGTACTGTCTTAAGGTAGTGCTAATTTTCTTAGGTGATTTGGGGTGGAAGGAACATAGCAGGTAGCTTCTCTCCTCTGCTCCTAGCCTCTGTCAGATCTGAAAGATCTAAGCACGAGTCCTGTTTTTTGTCTGTTTTATTGTAAATGCTCATATTCAAGGGTCATTCGAATCCTATCTTCATTCCCTTCCCCTGGGGCACATTCATAGGAGACAATAAAGTAACACAGTGAAAATTGGTGGGAGGGGAATATGCTTCCTGTCTTGGGATCTTCGTAGTTGTATTCAAATGCAGCGCTTCTCTTTGATGAATGAGGTGTTTCTGATAGCTACAGTATTTATGGGCAGACAGCAGAATAGACTGATTCCACTAAACAGTCCTTTCCTTTTCTTAGTCCTTCCCTGCTTATTTTAGTCGTTTCTCCACCCCGCCGGGAATACCATCCACTTCTCAGTTCAGGTAGATCTGACGTCAAAAGATGGCTTTCGTAGATTTGACGTGTAAACACTCATTTCTATTCTGGCTGGGGAGGCTGGGGCTCCACTCTGCCAGGAGACTGAAGCGCTTCAGTGAGCGCTCGCCGCCGCCCAGCCTCTCCCAGCGCGCCTCCTAGCTCTCGCAGAGCAACCCTGAGCCAGGAGTGGTTCGGAGAGGCACGGCGGAAGAAAGGTCGAGTCTAGCTGGTGTTTTTCCCGTCTCGCTTCTTTTCTCTCAGACCTTCTTGCTTGTGTGAGAGCAGGGGTGGGAGCCATGGAGCAAAGAGGCTGGTCTCTGCAGTATACGGCTTTCGCCCTCTTTTGCGCTTGGTGTGCACTGAACAGTGTAAAAGCCAAGAGGCAGTTTGTCAATGAATGGGCGGCGGAGATCCCCGGAGGGCCGGAGGCAGCCTCTGCCATCGCCAAGGAGCTGGGCTATGACCTCTTGGGTCAGGTAAGAGTTTGCACTTTCGAGAAACTTTCTGGAGCTTGAGGACACTGGTGGGGATGGAGTACAGTCTCTCGACTCGGAGCCACAGATTGCACTCCCCTGCTCTCAGTGTCACAAGCAGCGAGGCGCATCCCCTGTGCCCCCGCGCCCCCCGCGCGCTTTCAGAGGGAAAATGCTTACGTTATTTATTGTTTGGGCTGGCCGCCACCAAGCAGAAGGAAGCTGCCGCTGCAGACCCTGATCTTTCTGTTGTCCGCTCTTGACTTAAAATCTGCACCCACGAGGTTTGGGGGTAAAAATAATCCTCCACGTTTGTTCTGGAAACTTAAGGTGTACACAGGCTCTCGCCTACCGTGTAGGAGAGCCAGTGCGCCCCATCCTCCTGGCAGGCAAGCAGCCTGTGTCCAGAGCCGGCGTTTTTCTTCCTTTCAATATGGCAGCAGCTTCCAGTCCTGAAGCAAGGGGCCAGCAGGCTTGAAGATGCCCGCGCGTGTAGGGGCGCGCCCAGAGCTCGCAGAGAGCGCCAACTGCTGGGACTAGTGACTCCAGGGTTTGGGTGGGTGGCGGTGGTGCCCAGTGGTGGGGGAGGCTGGAGGGGACCAGGTAAAGGAAGATGCCAGAGCGTCCCTTATGGGGGAGTTCAGGGTTTTCACCCATAACTTGTCAAGTCAAAGCTTCCTAACTTTGCATGGCCAATGTCTCAGCAGGGTCTAGGTGTAGAAATGACTGTCCGGAAAGGATCTCTTTCTGTCTTGTTCCTTGGACAAGTGCAAAATCATCTCCTAAGGTGTTAGATTATGAGATAAATTGATGTCTGTTCAAGTGTGTGCTGAATTAACAGACGGGTGGGGAGGGGCGCACAGATGCATTAAGAACCATCCCAAAGGGGAATCCAGGGGATGTGATTTCTAATCTCAGCTTTTCTGAAGTAGAGTCAACCCCTCGACCCTTGCTGGGGAAATTGTCCACAGTTATGCGGGGGAGGAGGGAGTTGTAAAACATTTTGGCGCGTTTTCTATTCTGGAGGTGGTGATTGAGACTCTGAAGTCATGGATGAGTAATCAGCGTGGGCGGTGTCGATTCCATGCACCAAATCCACTAGGAAATACGCCTTCTCTAGCCAGAAGCTTCATTCTCTAACTTTGTGAGGCAAATGGTCTTTGAAAGGCCCAGCATGAAACTCAATAAATTCCCAGGGCCTTTTTGAACAGTCCCCTTGGGGCCTGGGGACTAAAAAGGAGGAAAAGAGTGCTCTCAATAGAATTCAGATCTATGGACAGTAGATTCGAAATGAATATTGGCACCTGAATGCAATTTGTGCAAGAAAAGTCGTAGTTAGTGGTTTAATACAGCTACCCCCCCCCAGAGAAGGGGAACAGTAAAAGGGAACATGGGAGGCAGGAAAGAAAGCTACTGAAAATATCTACTTTGCAAGAGTTGGAAAGAAGTGTCAGGTTGTCAGGAGAACATGGTAAGGCTGGAGAAGCACCCCAGCATAGAAAATAGCTTGCAGGCAAGTAGACACAAAACAGCTTCATAATTAAGATTGCTTATTGTGTGCAATTCTTGAGTATTTGAGAGCCAAAAGCAAAAAAAAAAAAAAAAAAAAAAAAAAAAAAACAAACCAACAAAAAAGAGAATAGCAGATGGATTATTCGGATGGGTACTATAAGCTTCTTGGAAATGTGTAAATTCTGGGGTGGCAGGGGTAGTATTTGGTGGGGAGCTTTGTGACTGAGGAAGAAAACCACATAAACTCTTTTTCTTTCCTTCACACATATTAGCCCCAGACACAAATACAAACCTAGACCACTTGGTATGAAAATAATTTTTCAAAATAAACTAGCTTCCTTCTAGTCATTTTTAGTTAAAATGCCATATTCAATAACAAAATTTCAGGAAATAGTAACTTGCTTTCCTGATTCTGCTCAGATCTCATTTTGTTTAGCATTTCTAAAACCATACTAATTTAAGACAAGTATCCTAACATTACAGCCTCATGACAAAGCTAGGGCCAGAGTAGAGACAAGGAGCAAAGCTAGTTGACCATAGAAACAGCGCTAGCAACCCTGGCATTTTCTTGCTGCTTTTGATATCTCTTTCCAGATCCATTTACATCTGCCTAAGGCTCTGTTTTGCACCTAAGCCTCAGCATTTCCACTAAAAGCTATTCTCTGGGTGACGAGAACCACCAACATAAAGAACATATTTCTTTTGCGAGGACACAATTGCTTATCTCTTAATTAGAAAAACAAAACAGGCATCTAAAGGATTTAGTCAATTCACACTTTGTCCCCATTTATGTAAAAGGACATTAGCTCAAAGACTATTAAACATAATCTAAATGATCCCGAAGGCATTGATAGCTACCAAGGAAGTACAAATATCCTGAGGTAGGGCACCTGTCTTAGATACAGCACACTTCCTGACAGCCCTGAGGCAATGAAAACCTGAATCACCAATAATGCCTGGTAACGTCTGACTCAAACACTCTACCTACAGTATCTTGTTTACACTGAATGTGGCACTAATCAACAATAAATCCTAAGGGATTTTCTTTTGTTCCACAAATAGTTGTTTTCTGGCAGAGTATATTTTCTTAAATGAGCATATTTTGAGAAATATCTACATACACATTTCTTTTTCATCAAAAATATACCAAGGTACTCCTCTAAAATAGAAAGCATCCCCATTGCTATGGGAAACAGAAGCATTGCTATTCTCGAGTCCTGAGGGTCATCTCAAGACTTCCATGTCTTCCTCATGAAAAAAAAAAGTTACTTTCAGTGGGTTTAATAAAATATATTTTTAATAAAAGCCAGCTGTGTTAGCTGATTTTTTAACTAGTCTATACATATGTTCTAAAGAAATTGGATTGTTATTTTGATTTTTTTAAATAGATTGGATCACTTGAAAATCACTACTTATTCAAACACAAAAATCATCCTCGAAGATCTCGAAGAAGTGCTCTTCATATCACTAAAAGGTTGTCTGATGACGATCGTGTAAGTGTGCCTTTGTCCTCAAACTCAGTCTGACTAACTATGTTCTGTGTAACTCCCAACAAGAGCAAAAGCATTTCACATTTGACCCTTTTATGTTGTAATCATGGCTGCTTCTCAAATTGCTTGTTATTTCTTTCTGTAGAATCATAATTGCTCATAATATGTTTGGATTGCATTAAGCTAACAAACATTAATTTTATACATGTGTTTAGTTATATGTAATATACATTTACATATCTAGAGTTGAGTTTTGAGTGCTGAAAATCAGGGGAAAGAGTTAATGAAATAATTGATGCTGTAGGCACTCAACAGCCTTTTATATGGTATGTGGCAAATATGAAATGCTCCTTCTTGACACCCTTGAAAGAAAATGTAAAGATCAGTTTAATATGAACTCAATGGTGCCAAAGATATATGGTGACCTGGTTTTCAATAAGCAAAAAAATAGTCTACCATTTGCATTGTTAAAATATATTAGTGTTTATGAGAAAGTTTTTAATCCATTTGTTAATGAGGGGCTTCCGAGCACTGTTATGTTCTTTGAGACAAACTATCAGTCCCAGTTCTTCTCATCCTTGTATGTACAAGGATATATAGGATCACAATATAGGATCGATATAGATAAATAGTGTGAGGACAATTTTAATGCATAGTTAATTATACCTATCAGTTTGGAGGTCTATTTTCAAGGTCAGAAGTCGTGCTAATAGAAAAGACTGGATGCATATATTAGGAGTGTTAAAATATGTACGTACAGTGTTGCCTCCCTTCTAACGCTGGTGTTCGTACAGAAATGCACGTTGGTTGGCCTCATATCTGTGTACGTGACTACTGTTTCTTAGGACACCCTGAGAGGTACTGTGAGAAATACAGAGTGTTATCTCAACTTTGGAAGGGAGGAGAAGATAAGTGACAGCATATGATAGTGACATAACAGTTGAAAGTACATGGAATATGGGAATCCTGGAAATTATATTGTGATTCAGTTTGCTCCTTGATTGATTGTTTTAAATAAGAAAACAGATTATGAGGAGAATCAATTGTTGGGCCTAGTCTGCAGGGCTCAAAAGCAGTAGAACATCCCACACAGATGCTGCTTCATCAGAACCAAGGACTACAATCCCACGGCAGGCCCATTGCTATGTCTTTGTGTCAACTATGGCTAGACCAACTATGTGATAGACCAAACTGAAAGCCAGCAAGCTTATTTAAAAAGTTTTCCTGCTTGGTGAGATCTTTTCTTCTGCCTACCACCAAAGTAGACAGCTCCTTGTATGTGGGCTCTAAAAAACAGACCAGTTCCCTGACTAGGTTTAGTGCTTGGACAAAGCAGGGGAAATAATTCGTTCTCTTTCTAAATGCTTGCCCAACATTAATATATAACGAAGTCAAATTGAAATACCTTCCCATCTTCATGGAAGAAGCTGGCCAGAGTGGAGTGTCCCAGCTATTCTTACCCAATGTACTTGATGCAAATTAACAGATTATTTAATTCTTTTTAGTTGTCTCAATCATTTTCGGGGAAATCCCAAGCTTATAACAATTGGCTAATAATTATTCATCAATGAAAGTTCATAAAAAGGAGTTAATTCTATGAAAAGTTAACCTCAGGATAATTTTAGTTTAGGAAATACCTTGGAGTCATAGAAGTTTGAAGTGGACAAGATTGTATTTTAGTATCTTCACAGATCCAAAGTGTTATTTACAATGAAGTGTATGATACCTATTATACATATAATAAGAAGACACTGCCAATATTTTCTATTCCATTTAGTCTGCTCTTCTAGAGGTTAAAATGCAGTTCTGGTTTATGACATTAATCATAGCATGGTTTGCTACAATTGGGTGTTTATCTGATGGGGTGGCAGAGTGGTTCTTCTCATACACTGTTCTTAAAAATTGCTCTTGATTTCACTTTGCTGCTCTTTTTTAATTGGGGCAATTTTCTTCCAATTAAATCCCATGAAATGTATCATGATACCTATTCTTTCACACTGATGAAATTCCCAACTTTAAGTTTCCCCCCACACAAAGATTTCTATGTATCTCCTAGCAGCCAGCTTCCAAAGACCAAGCTAGACAACAGGCAATGTATTCAAGCAGTGTGTTATTTTAAGCCACAATGATAGAGTTTGAAAATGCAAGCACTTTAAAATAAATTATAGTGACTAATTCCTAGCTCTTCAGTATCTCCAGTGTTTATAATAGGATTGCAATATACTTTCTACTTGAACATTTAAGGCATTCCTAGTGGATGTCTTTGGCATTCAGCTGGAAATTATTTTTCATTTTTTATTTTTGGATTTGACCCTCTCATTTTAAACATATCCCACTTTACAGTAGATTGTCACTACATACACAACAGAAAAGCAATGTTTAAAACAGGAAATGGTTACGTTTCCCAGCAAAATAAGAAGATAGTATTATCCTACAATAACAGTAACTATTAGACAGTCCTGCATTCTCTCAGGGCCTCAAGTATAATAAGATTATGCCAGAGATGTGGACCAGGTAATTTTTATACTGTCAGATCTGTTTGCATATTGCATGTGACTGAATTAATGACAGATGTGCCTGGTTAGTAATTCTTATTGATAATCTCAGGTCTTTAATCTGTTTCTCATATTAAATACTCCTAGGCAGGAGGTAGAAACACAGAGGAACCAAAGTTTCAAATTTCCATACACAGAACCGTCCTTACCTAACACCTGTAGAGTTTACCTTTGGATGTGAAGGGTGAAACGAGGCAAGAAAGTTCTAACAACAGTCCCAGAGGCCCCTTGGCTTGCTCACTCTGTGAAATGGGCCGATTTTCAGCCTCTGAGGCCTGGAACTTCAGTGTGGCCCGGTTTCTGATGACAACAGCCTGCACTTCTATTCCCACTGTGAACCCTGTAAATAATCTGAAAGTCTTGCTCCTTTACTTACGGCTTCTTCCTATAAAAGGACTCCTTACTGTAATGGAAGGAACCCTTGTATCCTCAGTGAGCAATCTTTTTTTCTCCCTGGGCTGGGAGTTTGAGCTGTGATCAGGAAAAAACATCACTGAGCTGTATAAGTTTTGGTGGGGAGGCTCTTGGAGATAGAGGGAGGATGATTATACCCAGGTGGGAGTCTGACTTTGATTTCTTACCATAAAAACATTTGTAGGTGATATGGGCTGAACAACAATATCAAAAAGAGAGAAGCAAACGTTCAATCCAAAAAGACTCAGCATTGAATCTCTTCAATGACCCAATGTGGAATCAGCAGTGGTACTTGGTAAGTACTGAAAGGACTGTGTAGGATCTATATTCTTATACTGCTACATCATCTACATGGTGGATCTGTCTGTGTTTTTATCTGTATTATTTGGGGTTTCTGAAGGAATAGAACTTACAAAATAAATCTATATTTAGCCATCTATCATCTATCTGTATATCTATATATAGATATATAGAAGAGAATTTTAGAATGGCTTATGGGCTGTGGTCCAAATAGTCCACCAGTGGTTGTCTAGCAACAGAAGTTCCAAGAATCCAGTAGTCATTCAGTCCATGAGATTGGATGTCTCAGCTAGTCTTCTGTATGTGCTGGAATCTTTAATGCCAGGGAAGGAATGGACTTGTTAGCAAGAACAAGCAGGCAAAAGTAGAATCAGCTTCCTTCTTCCATTCTTCTATGTCTTTTGACAGCAGAAGGTGTGGTCTAGATTAAAGGTGGCTCCTTCCACCTTGAAAGATCTGGATTAGAAATGGGTCTTCCCACTCAAATCACTTAATTAAGAAAAAGCCAATCACAGGTGTGCCAGCCACTTGGGTTTTGGTTAATTCCAAATACAGTCAAGTTGACAACCAAGAATAGCCATAACACTATCTAACAGAATTTGGGAGTAGGTAATACCTCTAGAAAGCAGGACTGATAGAACTTTCCTGACGTGGACCTTTTGTTCTGCTGAACGAGTGTCTAAAACAAATCCATATATTAATACCTCTTGTCTTTGTGTCTTAAGTGTAACTGGTTTAAATGCAGAAGAATCATGTCAGGCAGGAGAGAATTTCCAGAAAGACCAGTCATGATAAGGTCACTACGATGGAATTTGCTCTTGAGTATCCTCTAAATCACTCACAGACCATAGTCAACATAATGTACAGTCCAAATTGACAATTCTTAGACATACTTCAGACAAGAATCTCTGAATGAGACAAAAGGAAGAAATGCTAGGAAATTTTATTTATAAATATCTAGCCATGTAAACCATTGTTCCTTTTAGATGTTTACCAAGCCTTGACTGGTGTATGGAAATGCTATTGCTTGGCTTCCAGGTGTTCTCTTTGGTGATGCCAAGCCTCTACAGTAGAGGCATAGGCTGCTAATAGACCAGATGTGTCGCTGAGAATAGCATAAAAGGCAATTTCCATAACCACATACTGAGGTATTTTTCCTATATTAGATAGGCAAGGCCATTAGTTCCTCAAGCCATTCTTTTACATTAAGCAATGCTTACTGATTCCAGCAGAAGACACATGTTGTATTTTGACTATTTCAAGAAAATCTAAGTTATACATGTTTGATATCACTAACTCATTTTCTCTCACAACTACTTTATATTGAAAAGATGGGATTATTAATTATGTCCATTTTACTGATGTAGAAACAGAGGCATCGTCAAGTTGAATAATTTATTTAAATTGCACTGCCACTAGTGGCAGGGCCATAATTCATGGTTCCAGAGGTCATACTCCTTTTTAAAAATTCATCTCTCATATATCACATCCCTATTACAGTTTTCCACCTCTCCTGTCTTCCCAGTCCCTCCCCCTGCCTCCCCTCTTTTCCAGGTCCACTCTTCCTCCACTTCCCTTCAGAAAGGGGCAAGCCAGAGGCCATATTCTTTTTTTTAATTCATTGATTAGTTAATTAATTTATATTTACATCTGGACCACAGTTTCCCTTTCCTCTTCTCCTCCAAGTCCCTTCCCCCACCTCCCCTTTGCCACTCCCTACCCCCATCTAATCCTCCTCTGTTTCCATGAAAAGGGCAGGCCTCCCATGCATTTCAACAAAACATGGCCTATCAAGTTGCAGTAAGACTAAGCCTCTTATTAAGGCTAGACAAGGCAGCCCAGTATGAGGACTAGGGTTCCAAAAGCCAGCAAAAGAGTCAGAGCCAGCCCCTGCTCCCACTGTTAGGAGACCCACAAGAAGACCAAGCACATATATGGTACATATATGCAGAGGACCTACGTCAGTCCCATACAGGCTCCCTGGTATAAGTTCAGGATAGCTGAACTTATGGTGGTTGGGTTGGTGTCCCAGTTCCTCCACTGGAAGTCTTAAGATGTCATATTCTTAACAACTAAACACTATAATTACACTTGCACACTCACATGGGGGCCTTCTCTACTGCTGGCCAATCAAAAGGTTATATATTTCCAACTCTCGTGATTCAGCCTCACAATCACCTGGTGAACCTTCCCCACTACTGCATTTTTTTTTTAAAGAGGTAGCTCTTCTCTACCATCATACACACTGTAAATATCTGGAAGATTACCAGAAAAGGTAGTATTCCCTAAATTATACATAAATAGAAAAAAGTTATTAAATAGCAATTTTTAGTGAAACTACAGTCTCCTGGGTGCTTATTTTTCTCTTAGGAGAATATCCCTACAACAACCAGACACGATGAGAACTCAGTGTAGCCACGAAGGCTCAGGACTTTGTTGAGATAAAAACACACACTACCAAATAAAGCCTCAGCATGAGGAAAGCTTGTGCTTCTTAACATAACTGAAAGAAAAAAACAAGACAGTATGTGTAAGAGACCACAGATAATTCAGCTCTTAAGATTTTTTTTTTTTCAATTAGGACAACTAGAAGAGTAGCATGGATGGGTTATTAGGCTCATACTCTCAACTTTGAGTTTCCATTTTACCCAATTGCCTTTTTTGTTACCCATGGAAAAAAGAAAACAAATGGCCTTCAGTTCCTGATTAAGAAAGAAAACCCACAATTTCATCTATGTTTATTTGCTTTTCTTCACTAGCAAGACACCAGGATGACTGCAGCTCTGCCCAAGCTGGATCTTCACGTGATACCAGTTTGGCAAAAGGGCATCACAGGCAAAGGAGTTGTTATTACTGTACTGGATGATGGCTTGGAGTGGAATCACACAGACATATATGCCAATTATGTGAGTCCCCATGCTTGTCACTTAGGGAACCATCTCTGCAGACATGCAGGGCTTTTCTCTTCTTAAGGAGAGGTGGACTGCCTGGGTACTAGTCTCTGGGACCTGCCATGAGCCTGTTCCAGGAGGCATATGAAGAGTTCATCAAAGACAAAGATGTCTCCTAACAACCTGTGTTAGGAAGTGGGTGGGATGAGGGGTGCTTACACAAGCGGAACTGTTAAAATCCTTCACACCATATGAGTTACAAGCCATCAGATATTGGTGATTTTTTTTTCAATTGCCTTATGGGTCAGTATCCCTTCTTACATGAATGCAATTCCCACTATGCAAAATCAAGGTGAGTACCACAGTAAAAATGCCAAGCCAATAAGGGAAGAGTTTACTAGAAGCAAGAAGACAAATATTTGTCAATGAAGTTACTAATAGAACATGAACTCCAATTATGGATCTATTGCCCTTAGAACAGAAGGCAAATATTTCATCTATCAAATTATCCCTTATCATTCACTTGTCCTTTTTATCCATTCTAAATTCCCTAACCAAAATTCAAAGCTTAAGGACAAAGGACTATGGAGAAGAGATTTTAAAAAATGACCCAGAGTAGAATCAAGACTTTTTAAAAGCTATGGAAATAGTAATAGTGGTGGTGGATCAAAGTCAGCGATGCCTAAATGAGGCAGTATGATTGGAAAAGAAAACAGGCAAGTTAAGCTTGCTTGAGTTTCAAGTAAATTTTCAATAATTAAATTTCATGAATTCTTACTGTGCCTAGGAAGGCTGAGGGAAAGCATCACAGAAGTTAGTATACTCCACAGCCATCTCTTTGCATCTTGGTTATGAAGGCGTGCATGTTGCCACATCAATATGTAGCTCTGTGGTCTTAATAAGTCACCCAATTTCTCTGAGCCTCACTATTTTTTCTGAAAAATGAGACATCTGACCCTATGGAATGCTAGCCCTTTACAGCTTTCTGAGCATCTGTGGAATATGAGTTTGACATATTCATGAGTGTTGGGTATCTTGCTCATCAGTGCCGCTGGCTTATGGGTATAATATGTGTTCAGTCAGGCTAGCAGCTCTAAAAGATGCTCTTTGGAGCTGTCTGCCAGCATGGAAAAGTCTCTGCAAGTGCTACCTTTTATGATGCTATGTCATTTTTTTGTCTCTAGGATCCAGAGGCTAGCTATGATTTTAATGATAATGATCACGATCCATTTCCCCGATATGATCCCACAAATGAAAACAAGTGAGTAAATGTGCACTTTGGAGGAATAAAGTTATGTGCAATGTTTTTTATCTTGTCTAGGAGACTTATGCTATAAATTTAGTCCAATTTCAAGTCTTAGTAAATGTTACTATATACTCTCCATATCATATTTCATTGTTTTTAAAGCAGAAACAAAAGCCTGTTTTCATATTCCCTTTAGTTTATAGAAGCATATTTAGTTAAATTTCTTATTTTATGAAATTATCTTTCTTCTATCATGAAATTCGCCTCTCAAGTATAATTGAATATTTGTAGATTTAGGAAGACTGTTGGGAATGTAATGGATGTTAATTGTGTGCCTCTCTTTCCCCCTTCATCTTGATATTAATCATGAAAAAAACATAAAGAAATGTATACAGGTAAATACCAACACCCAATCACTTCCCATGGCAATAACAATTGTGCTTTCTAATCTAGCTCCACCAGAAGGTCATGGTCAGGCAGCAGACAATAGGAGTTCAGCTGAGGTCTGCTCTCTGCATCTGGTTCAGTCTCTAAGATGTTGAAGCAGTTAGGAGCCTTCTGAGGGAGAAGAGGGATGAGCCCCTGACTCTTAGCTAATAGCTTCCCCTTGGAGTCTCAGTATAAGGGAAGCCTAGAACTATCAGTTCTTCCAAAGCTAGGTGCCAAAGAATGATCCAGATGCCAAAGGTTGTCAGCTTCCTCGCCTAATTCTACAGACACTTTAAAGACATATCTATGCCCATGTGAGTACTTGCCTTTTATCGTACTGGTATTTCTTACAGGCTTTGAGGAGACATTCAAAGATTTTTCTCCATATAGTAGAGACTTTCACCCAAAGAGATGAAATTGGGGTCTAACTCGGGGCATGGTGCTGTGAGGATAGGAACCATCTTGACAAGTTTTGGTGTGTGAAGCTTTGTACATAAAACATGAAGTGATGTTCTTTCCTCTGGGGCCTGTATGCCTTGGGTAGTAATTTTAGTTTAAAATTATTTTTCTGTGACCTGCCTAAGGAACACATGTCCTGTCTGCCTTCTTGTGATCCTTCTGGTATACTTCCCTCATGTAAGGAGCACCAACTCACATGGAATCCCTTTCCACCACAACCTTACCTTCAGTAAGAAAGCCTAGATTCCCTCCCACCTCCACTCCACTCACTCCAAGGAGCTCAACTCATCCTTATTGTTTGTATTTGGGTACCTGGTCCCTTCTCTAGACATGCACCAGATTCAGACAGCAAACCACACCCATCCCCACTCCCCAAGGACCACCCCTCTCCAAGAAGGGGCACTTGATCCACACTAGTAACCCCACTCACCCTGTACTAAGTACCATTCATATGTCTTGCACCTGCATTCCTCACCCATACCTCCTCTTCAGGTTCAGATCCCAGACATGCATTGCCAACTCTATCAGTACCTACTACTTGAGGGAAAGGCCTGAGGATCTCCTCCAGACCCCTAAAGGTTGACTGAGAATCCTATAAATCTACAGAAAATCTGTTTCTAGGCTATTGAGCTAGGACTACCCCTGCTTGACATCTCACCTCCACAAACAAGTACAGCATGCACCAAGAGAGACTAGGCCATATAGACTTGACCTCAACTTACAGATATCAGTTTCTTCCTTGAAGAAAAAGGAAGGCGGTATATGATTTGTATACTACTCTTTCAGTTCCACTTCCCAGAATTTGAGTAAAGGAGTTAATAACAAATCCAGAACATTCTAGTAACAACACAGTGGAAAAGCTAGAGCGGTCTCATTGGAAGAAAGTCAGACCATCTTGAGAATGACAACAGGGCTCAAGGACAAGATTTCAGACATATTTATCAGTTTGGACAGTCAGCAACAACAGGAATACAACTTCTTTTTGGAACACTGCCATGTGGTTGATGTTAACCTAGCTGGAAGGTGTAGCTTTGCCAGTTACTAACATGGACTTGGAGTAACATTAGGGGAACCACTGACTTCTCAATGCCTCTACTATTTTTCTTCTTATCACCTAAAATGGGAGATAAAGTACCTGCTGTCTATATTTCTGAAAGTTCCTGAGAAAATTGTCAGTATATACTTGCAAACAACCATTACCCTATTAGAATGACTTTCACTGAATCCCTAGTTAAGACTAACAGCAACCTCCCTGTGGCCAAATGGTGAGTTTGTTAGTGAGAGAGGGCAGTGTACCTCCATCCTATGTAGAGCTTAGGGCAATGATTTGTGTAGTGGTACTCTCCAATTTCTCTGGTCATGGAAAGGACCCAGACTTCATCTTAGTCATATTTGTAATACTGTAACAAATAAAATTAAATCAACTTGAAAAGGGGAAATGTTTCCCTTGGCTTTCAGTTTTAGAGGGTTCAGTTCACATGTGGTTGTCTTTGAGATGTAGTGGAATAAGCTGCTCACCTCAGAGAAGCAGAAAGCAACCATAGAGGAAGAGACCAACATGTCACAATCAACGTTTTAGTATATGTCCCTAATTATATAAAATTAACCTCTTATTTGTTACAGTACTTTCCAATAGATCCAAGGTAAGGACCAAGCCCTTGACACATGGGACTTTGGGGAATATTCCTTATCCAATAAGCAGTAAACCTTCTTTCCCCAAGAGGTAGTTATGTTATCCTTATAGTGAGTTTTAAAGTCCCATATAGTGTTGTTTGTACTTAGTCTGAAAACTCTGGGTTTCCTATCACTGTCCTTCATAATTACTGCATAAGGAGCCTCATAGAGCCACATATGAATGCCCTCTGTCATTCAAAAGAGGAGTCACCAAACAACAAATCATAAAATTTCAGGTAATTCTTACTGTTAAGATGACATGAATTCAGTTTATGTGTTCTGATTTGTAACATTCTCCAGAAAGTTCCAAGGCAACTTCAGTTGCCTGTGAGATAACCCTAAGTCAGAGATAAAATGTAAAATGTGAATTTGAAAGTCACCAGTGGATGATCTAGCTTCAGAAGTTGCAAGACTTTGGAAGTTGTATAATGTGTTCCCACAAAACCAGCCACTGTTAGTGCAGATTGCCCACTTAGCTTCATTCTCCATAGGGTCTTGAGTGGGAGTAAGATGCATCTGACTTACCTGCTGCCTCGTGCTCAAGGTTTACCAGGAAGGGCAATATTTTCTTCCCACATCAGCTTCAGTACTTGCAAGCTGGTTGGAGGAGGTAACCATTATAAAGAGAATCTCAAGGAATAGTGAAGATCCTACTTAATTAATTGGGAACATATTAGCTAGCAAACAAAAGTAAAGAAAAACAAACAAATGGCAACAAAAAATATCTTAAAACTGTGAGCCCTACTACAGAAACTGACATTTCTCTGACCTAGAATTCCTGTCTTCGATTAGTATGAGGGAGCACAAATATCATTTATTCGAAAAAGACCAGGAGATTTTTTGGGGGGTGTAAGGAAAAATCATAAGCAACATTGTCTTCATTGGCTCAGTAACTTCAGGAATTTTATATCCTATGCTAGGATGAAGTACTTTCTAGAAGTAGGTAGCTACTTCAGCATTTCTGACAGTGGCTCTTGTACAACACCAGCAGCTTCATACTATAGCCAGCTGCCTCTGCAGTGGAATGAACCCTGGAAATAGATTTACCTTAGCATTCTCGTCAGTTATGGGCCTCCCTGAGTCAGGTTGGTGGAAGAAAGCACAATTTTCTCCAGAATTTCAGAACTGATACCTCAGTGGTAGACTTGCTGTAGAGATTGGTGTATTCCACCAAATATTCTGACTGGAAAACCTGTCTGATTCTGGTCTCAGTTAGTCAGTGGTGTCCACAGAAAATCTCATCCTCGTCTTGTTAACATCTTTGGTTGTGGTGTGACACATGGTCAGAGGCACAGAGAAGGGCAAACAAGGGGAACCTAGTCTATCATACTTTACGAGGGCTGATTGAGGACTACTCAATCCAAAATAGGAAGGGTGGAACCATTTTATCAGGAATACTTAATGCAAAACCATTCCTAGAATAGAAAGTGAGGAGCCATTTCACTTCCAGTATGTAAGAAGCAGAAAGGTGTGTTTGTGACTGTCCCTGGGTGTTGGCTTACTTGCAATGGTGTCAGCAGCTACACTGGCTGCATTCTTTGTATATGTTCTATGTGCTCTTCACAGGCACTTCATGTGATCTTCATGACAATCCTTTGAGGATAAGTTACTGACCCAAGACCACACCATTCATTAGTGATAAAAGCCAGAATTTGAACTCACATGTTTTGGCCTCACTACTTACATCCTTCATCTTGACAAATGGTATTTACCTTCGATAGGGAGAACACAAGGGAGAAAGCTGATAAAAAGCTAGTACATCTAAATATCGTGAATTCATGTGAAAAACACAACTGTGATCTTTGTTTCTGTTTTAAAAGTTTTGCTCCTTTAATCTTTAGACATGGAACTAGATGTGCAGGAGAAATTGCCATGCAAGCAAATAATCACAAGTGTGGGGTTGGAGTTGCATACAATTCCAAAGTTGGAGGTAAGGCTGCCCATTGTCTGTAGTTTGGCACTTTAATTGAAGGCTTGTATTCCCTGCTATAAAATGGGGGGAGGGGACTTTCCCCAATCCAAGGGGAAATTAATGAATTCTTAACAATATTTGTTGCTGGACTTGAGTGTGACTTGCAAAAAATTAGTGGCTCTGAATTCCTAGAATATAGCCTATATATCCTTGCAGGAAAGATGACTCGGTTGAATGGCACTTGAGTGAAATTGAATTTTCTCTATGTTCCGTTTTCAGAGGCTAGCCATTAAATTCTTGATGAGAGAGCAGAAGGGATAGGTAAAATTAGCCAGACTTTCCCTGCTTCTCAATTCTTTGCTTATAAGTAAAGAATAGGGTTGTGGTTTTTGGTTTTTTAATTTTTTCCAGGACAAGATTTCTCTGTTTAACATCCCTGGCTGTTCTGGTACTAACTCCGTAGACTAGCCTTAAACTCACAGAGATCCACCTACCTCTGCCTCCGCAGTGCTGGGATTAAAGGCATGTGCCACCATGCCAGACTCAAAGAATAGTTTTTAAAAGATTTTTTTAAAAATTGTATTGTTATATGAAGTAGCCCATCTTATGATGGCAAGAAAAAAAAAAAAAAAGAGAGAATCAGTAGTTGACTTGTTCAGTGTAGGGTAATTGAGGACATTTGAGGTATTTGAGGCCTCTATATACATTAGAAGTAGCAATCAAGGGACAAATTAGAATATGGAGAGGTTACCACTTCTTGGCTCAAAATACCAAGCAGAAAGGGAGGTCAAAGAAGGTAGAGAAATACATAGCTATGGAAAACTCCTGGGCAAGTAATGGGGGGGGGTGCCTTCTGTATGGTTGATGAATAAATGCTGAAAGCCCAGACAGGAAGTATAGGCAGAGCTACCAGACTAGGAGAATTCTGGGAGGAAGAAGGTAGAGAGTGAGTCACAAGGGAGAAAGACGATGTAGCTACCAAGAAGGTAGGATGCCTGGGCATTCTCTGGTAAGCCAAACCATGTGGATATACATAAATTAATAGAAATATGTTGATAATTAAGAGAGAGCTAGCCAGTAAGAAGCCAGTAAGTAAACCATCGGCCAAACAGTTAATAATTAATATAAGCCTCTGTGTATTGATTTGGGAATAAATGGATGCAGGACCTGGGAAGACAGAAACTTTCATCTACAGGCAAAAGATCTAGCTTCATGTGTGTAAAAGAAGTCATTTCCAAATGGGCAGGGTATAGATGACCAAGACTTCACTCACCTTACATGACTATCCTCCTATTGGTGATTGCATTTGACTGAAGCCACTGGGAATGCAAGAAACACACTGGCAGAACCAATGGAGAGCAGATCCATCAGGATATAGGAAGAAAACAAAAATTGTCTCTTTCCTTACTACCTACCTTGGGCTTTTATAGTTACATAGTAAACATTGAGCTTAATTTTGTTTTTCAAAACAAAACCACAGAATGATCATTTGTAGTGAGTGTCATTCCAATAGAGTCTCATAAAATATACATGTTACACTTTGAATTTGGCTATAGATTTCTTTTGTAGAAACCAAATGAATACACATTGTGACATGGATATGCCAGCATCCTCACCAATGTAGGACACTTATGTAGATTTTCGAGCATCACTCCTGATTTTTTTTTTAATACTACCACCTTCAAAATGCTGTTCTAATCAAAAGAAAATGAAGGCAGGTACAGATCATGTAATCAACTCAAAATATAATTCACCAACATATATAAACCAAACATCCATAGCTGATGGGGAAATTTTCTGATTCTTCGGGTATTGGAGAAGAATTGTAATCAGGTTCTTAAGATATAGCTGACAGTATCAGCATCAAAGTAAAATATAAAACTTCTGATCCTAAACCTATTGTGTTATTTCATCACTCCTGCCTTTGGTGGTCCAGTCACAATTTGAACAATTTAATGTACTAGGCATCTACTATACATCAATCAAATTTCATGTAGTAATTATAGAACATGTTCCCTGAAGTGGACAATGTAAATTTGGGTGCCATGTTTCTGGAGTTTGGATCCAAGCTTTCTGCTTTCAAGCTGTGTGGACTTAAAGAAGCCACTATGTATCTTAGGCCTTAGTCTGTCCACATATAAAATACAAGAACCTCAGCACCAATCTGAAATGGTAGGTGTGAAGAGATGAGTTCCTGTGTGTACATGGACTAATGACTGCATATACTTCTAGTGTGCTGTTACCATTGCCTACATTTTAGAGTTGATGAAAATGTGTCATGGAGAGGTGGAATAGCTTCCCAGTATCAATACAGCTATGAAAAATTAGAGTTGAAATGTTTATCTCCTAAATGCATTTAAAGCATTTTGTTGTTTCTGTTTTCAGGCAGGGTCTGGGGCCCAGGCTAGTTTCGAACTTACTGTGTAGCCAAGGATGATCCTGTTTCATGGATCCTCCTGCCTCCACCATCCAACTGCTGGGATTGCAGCTGCTACCTTGCTTAGAAAAGCAATTCTCTAAATAACTTCCATTGATTGTGTGAATTATGTATTCTTCCCACTCTGTTCCATAGTATATAATAGTTGAAAATATGAGGTAGTGTGCTGAATTATCAGCCCAAAGCCAGGAATAATATCTTGTTCAAATTCCTTTTTCCTTTTTGACTCTTGGATTCATGAGTATGATGATGGGTGGCAGGGTGTAGGAAAGCACAAAGAGCTCTCTCCTAATGAAAAAATGATCTCCCTCAGGAGTAAAGTCTGTAGCAATGACTTTTCCCTTGAGGTTATTTTGAAGAAAAGAAAGCATGCTTTTAAAAAATATTTCTCAGCAAACCTATAAAAGAATGACATCTGGGTTACTTTTAATTTTTGCATAGCAACAATGGCTCCTTCCCTGTGTTAGTTTTTTATTGGAGATGGATCTTTTGTAGCTGCAGTTTCCAATCAGGGCACTTCATGGCAGATGTGTTGAGGAAGGGATGTTTATTAATTTTCCTTCTGAAAGTTCTCTGTTGTCTGTCACTTTGTTCAGATGTTAGAGGGAGAGGAGACACTTTTAATGACTAGTAGCCATGGCATTTTCTCTTGTGCAAAGATGCCACTTCCTTTGATCTCGATATTACTGGGAACAGCTTTGAATCATCAGCAATAGCAACAAATCTCAGCTACTTTACAGTACTTAATGTTGTCTCTACAGTTCCTTCACAGAGATATGGATTTGTCCCTTTGGGGCTGTTAGGGACTGCCTCACAGGTGTTGCAAACATCCAGTGCTTTGTTTTTTATTGTTTTTGTTTGTTTGTTACATTTTGTTTCCCAAAGTCCTTTAAGAATGTGATTATTCAGAGTGTTTTATTTTTCTATATGGATACAATGGCATTCCTGTTACATTCTTACTGTGTTGCTTCTTTTTTGCTCAGGCATAAGAATGCTGGATGGCATTGTAACTGATGCAATTGAGGCCAGTTCAATTGGCTTCAACCCTGGCCATGTGGATATTTACAGTGCAAGCTGGGGCCCTAATGATGATGGGAAAACGGTGGAGGGGCCTGGAAGACTGGCCCAGAAGGCATTTGAATATGGTGTCAAACAGGTGAGATGCTCAATGAGGACTCACATGAAACTATTAGAAGAGGAGAAATCTTAGGTTAGAGGGAACTATACAGTGAACTTCGTGGAAGGGCCTTTCACAAATTTAAATGCACTTAACTAAATCTTCAGGTGATGGATGTTCAAGATTAAGAGCACTTCCATATTTGGATCCAACATGGCACAGAGATTCATGACCTTTAGAATACTTACATTTAAAATATTTCTTGGGGCTAGGGAGATAGCTCAGTTGAAAACGTGGTGGTTGTACAACATGAAAACTTGAGTTTGAGCCCCAGCATCTGAGTATAAAGCCACAAATGACAGTGCATGTTTGCTGCCAAGGCAACAGAAACAGGCACAGATCCATGAAGATCACTGCCTGGCCAACCTTTCATGAGAGAATGTACCTTAAACAAACAAGATGTTTTTTTAAAGCTAGGAAGATAGTGTCTCGAGAATGAGAGTCGAAGCGGACCTCTGACCTCCACACACATACATGTACACCTGCACAAATGCATGTATCTGAACATACACACATATGCACTTACAACATAAATACCTACATCCATGCACATATACTCACAGAGACATGCATACACAGTGCTTTCGGACATCATTCTCATTTTTCTTCAGTGTTTTGTAGTAGGTCACCTATAGACTAGACGTCTTGCAGTTGCTGTAAGAATGTATTCTCGAATGTGGAGGCCACCCTACCTTTCACATCACAAATGCCCCTGGGACCCTCTTGCCCATCATCTGTCGCTCTTTCCCTTGAGCTGACTTCATTGCTGGACAGATTCTAAGACCTTGAACTATGCAGGACAAGACAAAAGTAGAAGCTTTGGAAAGCACCAATTGAAAAATCACAGAAAAAAGTGGCCTTGACGAGTTTCATTCAATCCAGAGTCTTTTTGAATGCAGCTGCAAAGCAGATCTGAATAATGCCTGATTTTGTCATTCTATCAGTCAGCCAGACGATCCATTCAGAAATAGAGAAAGTTCAAAGATTCAAGTATAGTGACATAGCCTAGAGAAGAGTGAAAAGAATCCTAATTCATGTGCTAATGGCCAGAGTATGAATCTACTAATAAAGAAGAAAGGAAAAGCCTTTCTGGACCCCACTGCAGAGAGAGCCCTGAAAACTAGAGGCTGGCAGGGACACTCTGGTCCTGGCCTATAACAGACAATCTGACATTGACCCTGAATTTAAAGACAGATTCCAAAGACTTGTCTCTGAGAATGCTGTATGTTTATTTCTTGGTACTTTTGTTGGGCTTGCTGGTAACCAGAATAGATGATGAGAGATTATTATATGTTGTCTTTTCTTTTAGGGGAGACAAGGGAAGGGCTCCATCTTTGTTTGGGCTTCCGGGAACGGGGGTCGTCAGGGAGATAATTGTGACTGTGATGGCTACACAGACAGCATTTACACCATCTCTATCAGCAGTGCCTCCCAGCAAGGCCTGTCACCCTGGTATGCAGAGAAGTGCTCCTCCACGCTGGCCACTTCCTACAGCAGCGGGGATTACACAGACCAACGAATAGTAGGTTACAGGTTACTTTGCTTTTGTTTCTGTGTCGCTGCTGAGGTAGAGGAACAGGGCTTTCAGAGCAATCCTCTTCCCTGACCTTCCGTGGCAATGGTTTGCTTGATGTCTCAGTTGGGAAGACTCGGGCTGGCTCACTTGAAAGATTGGCATATATTGGGAAGTTTCTCTTCAGGGACAATGACACTTCTGCCAAGATGATCTTCCCTGTCATTTTTTAACTCAGCTCAGAGAAACCACAAAACCTGTCATTACATGTGGTAGGCACTCCAAATCTTTTTGTGCTTGTCTGATGCCTCTCTGGAAACAGAGAGATTTCAGGGTCATGGGGCTTCATCACCTTGTGCTTGCTGATCCTCTAATAACAGGGATATAATCTGACGACCATTAGCAAATGATACAAGTATAGACTGTACACCAGTGAGATCTCTTAAGAACAGATGACCTACATGAAAAATAACAGCCTCACTTTTGCCTGGGGTGAACTCAGCCTTTAGGAAAGCAGCAAGCAGCTCAGGGAGTTACATGCTTCGATCTTCAGCCCACGCAAGCCTGTGCCTTCACTTCCATGAGTCATGAACAATTATTGGATTTTCCTTCAAGGGCACAATGATGAAGAACTGTTTGGAGGCGTTGAGAACAGAGATGGGTACATTAAATTTAAACTTTTAAAGCCTCAAATTTAACTATGAACATAGAATCCACTAGATAAAGCACATAGATCCTAACCTCAATAAAGTAGCAGGCTGAGAGTCAGTTAATACTTCCCAGGTTCAGGGGGCTGGTTGCCTGTAACCCCAATCTATATGACAATCTTTGTCTGATCTTCTGGGAATCCTGGGGGTCCTGGAATATATGCACAGTTCCTACCAACAACCCTGAAAAGACCACCAGCACTAGTTTCTGGTTTGCACAAGATCAGTGTTTTATTGCCCTCTTTCTGCACCTACATTAGGCAACAGAGCTGTGTCGTCTCCACTGAAAGGTGCTGCCCTCCCTCTCATGCCATATGTTCAGCTACTTGCATAATAGACTGTGACATTCTACTCAACAGTTCTTTATAGCCTTAGAAAGGAGCCTGCCAGACATCTGTCCATGGGTGTCAGAGCCCCTGGCTGTTGCTATTCCTGTAGCATCCAGAGCTGGCTTTTGTTAAAAGTTAAAATGTTAAAATTGCCTGTTAAGCATTTTGGAATTGCTACTGCACAGACTTGTCCTCATCTGGGGCCCCTTGCATTGAAGCAGGGAAGAGATTTCCACCTTTGCAGAGATTCGTCCTTAGGTAAAGCTGTCCTGAGAGAGACAGATGGTAGATTCTATTTGAGACAGTTGCAATAATGCTTTTTCTTACATAACACGTTTCCTCCACATAGTCATCTCTGAGGGCTTATTTGCGTCAACAGGTATAAAGGGCATCTTGACTTCTGCAGCTCTCTGAGAAGCAGAGCCACCATAACTTGAGAAATCTGAGGATACTAAGTGGGAAGCCAAAGGAGGTGATAATAGAACAAATTATATTTTTACACCTCCCTCCCACACATTGAAGTCTCTAGCAAAAACTAAGATACTGAAGCCTGGGTGGGTGTCTGCTTAGTAATCATTGGGCTCCACTGCTTGTTCAGCCAGCAGACTGACTGGAAGTGGTTGGGGGTATTTCTGCTTTATTTAGGTAGCCTCTTTATTATCCTAAAGTTAGCCTGCTCAGTTCTTACATACAATAATATTGTTTACAAATGCATCACAAGGCAGACTCTTACGTCTCAGAATGAGTCTGGAAATTTAAGTCTCATTCTGCTAATGTGAAGAACACATAATGTGACCATGGGGCACATCTAGTACACAGCAGTTTTATAACCTAAACCAAGACTTAAATGTGGGTTAATTTATAAATCTGACCATTCCCATCTAAGAGCAGAAGACATGACCTCATAGCTTTCCAATCAAGTTTACAGTTAATGCAAAATCTATTCTAAGTAAGTTCTGTTCAAAGAACTCTGATCAAGATGTCATTATGTCCCTGTGTTACAGAGGCAGACACATGTCAATCTGAAGGCCAGAAGGAATGTTGTTTGAATTGGAATTTCTAAATATGCCCCACCATGCACAATGGACCTGATGATTAATGGGCTGGCATGATTCACAGTGGTTTAGAAACAGTTCTTTTTTTTTTATAGACACATTTCGTTTGGGAATCTCAGAAGAGAAAATATTCATAGTGGGAGTACTTCATCCCCAGAAAAGGCAACTCGCTGCCAGAATTATAGACAAGTTGCATATAGAGGAGAGGGAACTAAAATATCAGCAGATGGCAAACATCCGCTTGCTGGTGCTTGAGAGGGGGAAGTGGGGAATGGAATCTTGAGCTTCCTGGTCACAGCAGATGCAGACCTTGGTCTGGCTACCCCTCCCATGCTCCTCACGTATCTATCTTTCTCTCCTTCTTCCCAGACAAGTGCCGACCTGCACAATGACTGCACAGAGACCCACACAGGCACCTCAGCCTCTGCACCTCTGGCAGCTGGCATCTTCGCTCTGGCCTTGGAAGCAAAGTAAGGCCCCCCAAATGTGGTCAGCTTGACTGAGACTGCTTCTCTGAATATGTAATTACTTGAGAAATTTTGAACAACTGCAGAAATAGCAACAACAGCATCTAGATAAATCCTGCCACTTTGAAATAATTGTTGACACCTCAAGGTAGATTTAAGAATCATACATCATATTGCAAATTATTTTCTAATATTTTAAAATATCCATAATATATTAGAAACATTGATTCACAACTCAGTCAATGTTCTTTGACTTTCTAAACTCATGTTCTCCCCTAGTCCTGTGCACCAAGCCTGTTCTATCAGACAGAATTCTGTCTGAATCATTTCCTGGGAGTGATGCTGAGATCAAATGAGCTTTCTTCACATTATAAACCTTCATTCTGGAGCTAATGTAACTAGATAAGACATGACAATTAAAAACTAGACTTTATTTTTTCACACTGCTACAGACTACAAATACAAATTTTGATAAAGCCATCCGATCATGTTTCTATAAATATTGACATTTTTCATGTTCCTGGAGATGAGCACACAGAATTGGAAATTCTGAGCCAGAGAAGTTGTGTTTTAATAATTTTGATGCATATTGACAAATTGTCTCCTTGAAAGGCCAAATATTCTCACCAGGAGTGTATTTTTGGAAGTGCCAGTTTCTAAAATACTAACAGTGCTTACCTTTAGTGTGTTTGTTGTGTGAAGGAAATGATGTCTTGTTTAATACTCAGGCCATTACTGTTGTAGTTCAGAAGTTTATGTTTGTGGCCAGTTGCCCTCTGATGCAGCCTCTTTATGTCCCTGGCTTTTATGATCTTGGTTACAATGATCCATTAATACTTTGTCAGTTTGGCATTTACTTTCAGTTTTACTCATAGTTGACAGTGTAACCAGGCTAATCAGTAATCAGCTATGTTTAATTGGTCTGTTTCTCTAGTGCTGCTTTCTTTAAAAAATATCACAAACCAAAGCTGGATTCAAATTATTTATGTTTTTATTGTCTCCCCTTTGCTATGCTTAACTTGCAAATCCCTCTGGTCTTTATTTTAGTATATGATGCTAAAAGTGGGTTTAGCAACATTTTTGCTTCACAAAAGTTGCTCAACATTCTAACAATTAACACAGAAGCCAAACAAAACAAAACAAACAAACAAACAAAAACAAACCCCCCCCCAAAACAAAAACAAAACACAAAAAGCCTATTTGGTCACAAGAGGTTAACCTAACTGGAAGAGGGCTTAATAGCCTCCCACATATGTGTAGACTAGACACATAGGAACAAAACGTGCTGTCCTCTGTACCAAAAGGAAGAGGCCTGAGCCTTGTCAGAAGCAGTCCAGTGAAGGTTCCTGCAGCTCCCTAAAAAGATGAAGGTAGAATTTCTTGGTGACAGCAATGAGACCCAGAATGACTCCTGTCCAGGCTTTTACCAAGTGTCTACCTATTGAGAAGAAGTGGACAGATGTTTGATTTTTTTTCTCTATTCAATATCTATCAGAAGCATACAAATATAGTACATCAGGCCAAGGCCATTTTGGTTTAGTGACCAGTAGAGCAGGGGTATCCACTAAGCCAAATTTTATAATCTTTAAAAACACGATAGTGTTAATTTTAAATAAGAACTGGGATTTTAATTTTTGTTTTATTTTATGCATGTGTGTACATTACATGCTGGCAAGGCCTCTGTGGGTCAGAAGAGGGCATCAGATCCCCTCGAACTGGAGTTGAGGCAACTGTGAGATGCCTGATCTGGGTGCTGGAAATCAAACTTAAGTCCTCTGCAAGGGCAGCAAGTGTTCCAAGCCCATGGAGCCATCTTTCCAGCCCCAGAACTGAGATTTTAAAGTTTCTCAACTTTCAAACCTTCATGAGAGAGAAATTATGTAAGAATGATGTACCCTAATTAATCCTGTTTGTCTGTGGTAGGCTTTATCTGAAGGAGGGGCACTATTGCTGGGAAATACATGCCCAACTTCCACCACTCTGTGAGTTTCTTTGCTCCTAAATGCAGAATTACTTAAGGGGTATATATGGGGTTTTCTGGGGACTGGCTTGTGGGTTCTAGAATATCCTCATCATATTCATTACTAAAACATTAATAGTTTATGGACCTCCGGATACAGAGCATATGACTTTAATTTCCCTAATTTTGATTCTAGTTATCAATATAATGGACTTGATGTGTCTAAACATTTTTATCCATCCTGTTAAAATATACAGCAATTGTTGAGATGTCTGTTCTCATTTGCATGACTTTCTTTACTCCATTCAATGACTTATTCAAGACTATATATCAGGAAACTGAAATGCTAGAATTTCTAGACAAGACCACAAGCATGTCTCTAGTCACTCCAGAGTGAATTATTCACACACTTATTATCACCTAAGGAACAGCCAGGGAGACTGGAATACCACTGATGAAACTTGTCAAGAATGGCATGTGGTGCTTATCATGTTCATACTGAGGGCCAGATACTGTGCTAAACTTTAGCATACAATTTTAATTCTAATCCTTATGACACGTATACAATATTGAAAGTAGTAGTTTAATTATGTTTTATAAACGAAGAAATTGAGGCTTAGAGGGGTTAACATGTGTGAGCATTATCTCACATAAAAAAATATAAACTCAGGCTTGTCTGCCCTGAAATGGAACCACCCTATGCTGCCCCCCACAGCTCTGACAGCAAGGAGAGTCTTGAATGGAAGGCAATCATACCACCAAACAAAGGAGGCTTAGGGAAAGAATATCTAGTTCCCCACAGAAGGCTGTAGTCACAGATTCCTTACTGTACTCCTAGAAGACAAAAGAACTAAGGGAAAGAGAAAGAAACATCCTGGCTGAGGTAATCTACAAGGCAACACTTTCCATTCCTAGGGAGTAACCCTGAAATACAATATCCCTCAGGGAGGTTGTTTTCCAGGTACTTTACCAGATTCCATTGCTAAGGATTCAAATTCTGAAGTGTCCCTCTTAGAAGCCCTGTTTTAACCAGGCATCCAAGGCATTTTAATACTGGGAGTACTTTAGTCAAGCTTTGAGAATCAATTTCTCTCTCTCTCTTTTTTTAAAATTTGAAATAAAGTTGTTTCACATGTCAATTCCAGTTCCATGGCCCTCCCATTAAGAGCCATTTCCTTCAACTTCATCCAGCTGTGATTATGAGAATGTCCAGGTGGGTACCAACTAGGCAAGTTGAGGAGAAAGACAGTCTCTGCATAAATGCCTGTGGTACCATGATTATTATGCATTTAGTGTGTCTAAGAAATTTACAGATAATCATCTCATTCTTCAGAGGCAAGATAAGAAGAATCAGAACACTTTTAATAAGGAAGAAAAGTTATCAAGTGAATCCCTGGATCCTATCACACCTTTGGAGATCATTACAAACAATAAAACCTTAGGCTTTATTAAAATTGAGAAAATCAGAAATAAACAATCAATATTGCACAAAGCCTGCAGGGGAACAAACCCCTGAAAAATCCATACAGTTCTCTTGGAAAGTTCAAGTTAGACACTCTTCAATATCTGAACTCAAATAGGTGCAGGTAACCCTAGAACTTTTATTGCTGATTTTGGACCCAGACTTTTTTTTTTCTAATCTGCATCTCTTCCAATTAAAGGAAAGCTTAATTCAGTGTTTACTTCTGAAACTCTTATTTTTCAATAACTTATCTCTGGTTAGTAAAACAATTCAGTCTTGTCATTTTTAATTATTGCAGATGCTGGTATGCACTAATTAACAAAGGAAGGCTGTCAGGAACTGGGTCTACTGTTAGCAGTTTCTTTTCATTTACAAAATGCAAGCACACAATTGCAGAATAATTGTTATGAAACAAGACTTAGTTTTCCTAATTGCTTGACAGTGAATTTCCTTAGATATTTCCCAAAGATTATATTTAAATTGGAAAGTCAGAAAGTACTGCAAATAACTAGCTCTATGATAGAAAAGTAAAAAATGTATACCTTGAATGTGATTGCCACACTACCATTTCTTATGCCCTTAGTCTCCATCTTCATCCCCTTTGCACATACCTGCAAACACTGATCAACCAAATGGGAAACTTGTCCATTGCCCATTGCCCACCTTGATGGGAGGTTTTACTTAAGACACTTTATTTTAAAGACTGAAATGAAACAGACATCTTAATAATGCCCTATAGGGACAGAAGTTGTTGTTTGTACCTCGAGAACACAGCTTTTGCTGTTCAATTAGCTAATGATTCCTAAATGTGTGAGGGCCACAAAACAATAGGTACAGAGTGGTAATTCTAATGTTAAACAGACCGAAGTTCTGAGTTGTAAGGCATTCTAGAGATTGTTACATCCCATCCTACTTCTCATATGACAGATGAGATGACTCAGGCCCAAAGAAAGGAGTCAGACTTTGGTCGAACCATTCACTGGAGCATTAAACAGTTTCATGTGGTTTTTTGCTTTTTTGTCTTTTTAATTGCTCCCTACATCGATGCCATCATTGAAACTGTCTTGTAATTTGCTTAACGGCTCATATGATTATAATATTCCTACCAATTCCTGTTAGCTTTAGTGCAATACAAAATCAGATTGAATTTTTAAAATATAAATATCCCGCCCTACCTACATTGGTAGAGTTGGCTATGTCTCAGAAATTTTCACTATTTAAGATGTACTAGGTATTGTTCCTTTGTTACAGTTGTAAGTCATAGGCTATAGGATAAAGTTGAAGAAAGGTGGAGAAGGGGGCAGGGTGGTGTCCCTCGTGGGGGTCCCAAAGTAAGGTTCCTTGTGAGAGAGCATAGCAGGTTCCACAACAGGCGAGGGTGACCGAGGCAGAGGAAATAACAGGCCAGGCAGACAGAGCTTAAGTGAGAAGTTTATTTAGAAGGGGTAATGAGGGAAAAGGGAAGAGAGACATAGAAACACGGGGAACAGAAGAGGAGAGGAGAGGAGGGGCGGGGAGAGAAGGGGAGGGGAGGAAAGGGGAGGGGAGGAGAGAGAGAAGAAAGGAGAGAGGAGCAAGCGAGCAAGCGAGACAACAGAGACACAGAGAGAGAGAGAGAGAGAGAGAGAGAGAGAGAGAGAGGAGAAGAGCAGGAAAGACAGCAAGGAACAAAGAGCAAAGAAAGCAAAGGGAGCAAAAGTGGGCCGGGTTTGTCTTTTAAAGGGGTCCTTTACACCTCAGTGCAGACTAGTACTCATGGAATCCTGGGCTGGCCAGGGTACTGCCAGAGTGCATTCTGCCAGGTGTCAGGAGAAGCCACCATAATGCCTGAATCCTTACACTGGGTGATCTGGGATTCACTGGGAATCACGAGACTGGAGTCCTTCTCAAGCCTCCACCAGTCGCTTTGGCATTTCACAATGTATCCGTCAAGAATTCAGATCAACTTGAGGAGAAGGAGTGGAACTGTCCGGTATTGGAGTAGTCCACTAAAGCAACAAGTCAAAATGAGTGAAGCCCTTAATCACCCAATGATAGCAACCAGCGTAGACATGGGGCTTGTCTCATTTCTGAAAGCCCGAATGACAGATCTCAGTAGTTTTATGAACCTTGCAGTTCTGTATGTATATTCCACACTTATAAATAATAATTGCTTGATAGAGGATAAAATTGGAAAAGTGCCTTCAGGGTTTCTACATCTTCTTCCCTAAGGAAATCTTCACAGAAGTACCTCAAGAGAACTTCGAAGCAAGTCTCCAACAGAGAGGCTTGCCAATGAAGGAAGGAATTTGCCCTGGTGGGGGTGGGGAGCTGGGGTGTGTGTGGGTGGGGGTGGGAATGGGATGGGTTGGCTAGGAATATACTTGAGGAAAGTTTAGAAGAGGCCAGGGAGCTAAAGACTTATCTGCAACTTTAAAAGGCACAATAGCAGGACCAGGGCTGGTTCAAACATAGGTAGGTAGCTTTTGCTAGAGCAGCAGAAAATAAGACACAAAACAAATGGGTTGACCAGTATGTCAGAGAAACATCTGAGCAGGACATGAGTGCCCAGAGCATGTTGCAGGGAATTGGAAGCTTCAGTAGGGTACTCAAGGAAGGTGTCAACCTATTGTAATACTTAGAGTCTCCAACTTAGACATGTTCTTTTCAAATTAATTCTGCTGAAACTTCAAAGTTTACCACTTTTCTCAGCAGATATGCAGAATGATTTCCACTGCCCAAATGGTAAAATTCAAGCTCAGGGTGGCATTCAGCATCTTCAGTTCTGGTTTAGGTCTCTTCGTCACCTCTTCCCTGCCCTAGCATACAGATTGTAAAGTGGCCCAGCTGTTCTCCCACATCACTCTGCTTCTGCTCTGGTTGCCAAGTACTCCCTCTTAGAAGCTCTACTAACCCTTCAAAACTCACCTCATATATGTCTTCTCAGAAAACACCTTCTCCAGGCTTTCACAGTACATTAAGTTACAAATGTAACACTCAACATACATAGTTATATAAAAGGTTTTTTTTACGTGTACTGTAAATTTCTTAAGAACCAGAACCACCTCCTTGAATATTCTAATAATATTTATCATAATACCTTTCAAGAGTAAGCTCATGAAGCCAAGAATTTCTTGACAGATTTCATCTCTTGCCATCCCTCAATATCTGCCAAGAAGTTCAAGTCTTTCATATGAAACAGTATAGTAATTAATTGTAAACAACATATGCACATCTCATATATTTTAAGTAATTTCCAAATTACATATGATACCTAATACAATGTAAATCCTATGTTATACTGCACTATTTAAGGAATGTTAACAAGGGAAAGTATATATATATATATATCAGTACAAATGAAAAGTTTTTCTTTGGAAATGTTTTTTGATCCATGCTTGGTTGAATCCTAAGTATGTGGAACCGAGAAATATGGAGCTCTTACTACATTTGAAAAATAGAAAAGGCAAGATGTGTTGAGTAAGTTGTGAGCCCCTGTCTTTCAAATCTGATTCTTCTTATGACAAAAGCAAGGCTTAAGGGGATAAGGCATTCCATGAACAGAACTAGAGACACAAAGAAAGTATATGTATATATATATATATATATATATATATATATATATATATATATAATAAAAAAATAATTCATGACTATTTCTCCTCATACCACCAAGGGTTGTGCAGATAACCAGGGTTTGGTCAGTCATCTGAGGCTATTTTAGTGTCGGAGAGCCTTGCTGCCATCAGAGTCACATTGATCTGGGTGGCCTTGGCTGCCACAGGAGCCATAGTAACATTCAGGCCCAAGCTATTGCCAAGGGCCTTGTGGGTCTATGGTCCTGCTACATCAGGGTCTGTGTTGATTTTCATGGCCCATGTTACCACAGCGGGCCATAGGAACCATGGGTGTTAAACTTGAGGACAGTGCTGAGCTGGAAACACCACTTGCTAGCTCTGGAAGATCTGGCCCTGCCCTTCACTGGCCACTGCAGCAGAAGAGCTGGTCCAGTCCCTCACAGGTATGGGAGAGTTGGCCTGCATTACAGAGCCTAGGAGAGCTGGCTCTGACCCTTGCCTGAAGGGAGAAGTCCCAGTGGTCCAGACCAACCAAATTAGCTATCACCCAGATCCACATCCAGGGCTTTAACTTGGCCCACCCCAACATGGACCCATCTATAACCTGCAAGGGACTAGTCCTGAAGAACCAATAGCCACAAGAGCTCCATGACCTGGGGCAAGAGGAAGATATCTGAATGGACTTTCAGTGAGGATTCAGTGATGATGGCAGCCAGCAGCCTTGAGCCAGACCAACAACTCACTGCAATGAACAGTAAAGCTGAGTGGACAAAAGGGTGTACTGCATGACACACCTCAGCTCCCAATGGTACTAAAATGAATAAAGAGGTATTGGAGAGGTGGGAAAGATGGAGTGAAGTGGAGATTTTTTGTTTACCTATTTAGTTTTGTTTTGAATTAATGTTTTAAAATTTTGGGGGGCATTCTACAGGGGTGAGAGAAAGATATAGAGGGACTTGGAAATGAGCAGAATTAGGGTACAGAATGTGAAATTCCCCCCCCAAAAATCAATAAAAATCATGTGAAAACAAACAATCCCCCCAAAATATTTTAGATAAATATAAATAACTAGAGTTGGGAACAAAATTTCATACCTCAACAGTGCTTGAGATTAAATTTTACTGATAGTAAATGTCTAACTTAGATGCTGTAGATGAGAATTTTTAGTATTGTGTTGTATTGTAAGTTCTAAATAAAAGAACTTAACATTAAGTAATAGAATGCATATTTACAAAAGGCACTTAATAATCCCTAATTGGAGATGCTCGTTTTAGCACTTGATTTTATAAGACTACTTCATTTTGTCCCTAAAAGATACGTTGGGTCATTTTCTCTCCAGCCCAAATCTCACTTGGCGGGATATGCAGCATCTGGTTGTCTGGACCTCTGAGTATGATCCATTGGCTAATAACCCAGGCTGGAAAAAGAATGGTGCAGGCTTAATGGTGAACAGTCGATTTGGATTTGGTTTGCTAAATGCCAAAGCTCTGGTGGATCTGGCCGATCCTAGGACCTGGAGAAGTGTGCCTGAGAAGAAAGAATGTGTTGTAAAAGACAATAACTTTGAGCCTAGGTGAGTATCTTCAAGAATTTTAAACAGCTATATGCCAAAGCACAGTCATATTAAGTTGTTGTCACTTAAGTTTTTCTCATGCCCTTGGTCTTATGAAATAGATGAGGATGGAGCTTCACAGTGTTCACTTTGTCTGTGTCCAGATGGGGAGTCATGGAAAAATCAAAGATCTGCTAGGCAGGTTAACATAGTTGTATTTTCTTCTTGCAGACTACCTACCATGTAGCATTAAGCTTCAGAGGTACCACTGTTTTATATATCATTAAGACAAAACATCCTCAAACCAAGACCAATCAACAATTAGTTTTGAGATCTTTTCTCAAAAAAAATTTTTTTTGTTTTAAAATGCGTTTTAGCATTGATGGAATCCAGGACTTGTCAACTAGTATTCTCTAAAGCTTCTTTCCAAAGTAGCCCTACTTCATACTGCAGTTCTATGTCATGGATGGATTTTCTTCCAAGTAGGGGGTTTTTATGGATTCCCTCTGACTCATGTGTGGTCATGAAAGCAGAACTATGATTTTGTGTGTGTGTGTGTGTGTGTGTGTGTGTGTGTGTGTGTGTGTGTGTATCAAGGTGACCATAATGACAATAAAAACCCACTCTCACAAAGTTCCAGGGCCTGGAAAGCCTGGGAGCATTCCTCAGGAAGGCCTTATAAACAAAATTATATTTTTATGAAAATCTTATTGACATCTTTATCATGGTCCACTTTTGTTGCATTGGAGACAACCCTGTCTGAATTTGATTGTACAGCAATAGCATCATATTTATGTATTTATATTTCTTGCCATTTTCTTAGGAATTAAATTCATTTATAGATAATTCTGAACTGAACTCTAATTCGGATAATCATATAATTATAATTAGCCCTGCTGACTATCTAGTCAAGACATGCATATACCTGTACAATTGTCTCAAATAAACAAAAGGAAGTCAGAAGAAATACATTTTAAAAATGTGCTTCTCTAATGTATGTAGAGCCCTGAAAGCTAATGGGGAAGTGACTGTTGAAATCCCAACAAGAGCTTGTGAAGGACAAGAAAATGCTATCAAGTTCCTGGAACATGTGCAATTTGAAGCAACAATCGAATATTCTCGTAGAGGAGACCTTCATGTCACACTCACTTCTGCTGCTGGTAAACCTCAACAACCAAGCAATGGTTGTAGAACTAAGTCTCCTCATAGGCATTTACAATTCTTTAAAACATGATTTTTTTTGTTGATGATAGAGTTCTTCTTCCTGCTCAAGTATGCTAATTAATAAGCTTTTCTGAAATCACCTGTTTTCAAACTATGCTCATTTCTCCAGATTAAAGACTAAATATTCACTTCTCTTAGGTGACAGTGAATTTTCTATTTAGTCAAAACTTATAGGTATGTCTGGATAGTTGAAGGAATCAATTAAAAATTAGGAATTGTTGAGAATAGTGATTAAATTTTCATGGTGATATGCATAAGAATATATGCAAATATAAACTTTACCTTATTCCTGAAAGAGTCCTAATTAAGATGAGTTAAGGACTGTTGAGCCATAAACCACAACCAAAAGTTGTCCCTATGTACTTAAGTATGTTGATGGAACTGTGAGACAGGCAGCAGGCAAAGATGCCTGCTGCTAAGCCTGATGGCCTGAGTGCCATCCCTGAGACCCATGTGATAGACGGAGAGACTGACTCCCACAAGTTGTCCTCTGAACTCCACACATGTGCCATGGTTCACAGATGTGTATGCATGAGAACTCAAACACACACATGCACACACACCCACACACACTCACACACACACACAAATAAATAAATAAGTAAATATAATTAAAAGCTTTCTACAAAATGTTTTGATAAGATTCAGTCAATTTCAGTTTCCATAGACAATAGACAAGGAAAGATGAGCTGGGCGACTCTATGATCTTTCTAGCATATGAAGTCTTAGAGCTTGGGAGTAAGCTCTATTGAGAGTTATACTTTTTAGATGCCTTAGAGTTTGCCTGAAAAACTACTAAGGTCCCTACACCCTCCTACACAGACTATAGTTCACTTAACCTATCCTTTCATTCTCAGTTTTTAGATGCTAGAGTGAATCATATGATCAGTCTCTCAGGTTGAGATATTCACTGACTTATGTTTGTTGTATGAAACTAGGAACCAGCACCGTACTGTTGGCTGAAAGGGAGCGGGATACATCCCCCAATGGCTTTAAGAATTGGGACTTCATGTCTGTTCACACATGGGGAGAGAATCCTGTAGGCACCTGGACATTGAAGATTACAGACATGGTAAGTATGAATAAGAAGACAAAGAAACCAAACTCGTTTTCAAATACTTCGAAGTACTTTAAAATGTTGATGGCATCACTAGTCAGTTCCTATATTGGTAGCTTATGAGTCCAGCTCAAAACTGCCTCCAGGGTTCAGGTCAGAGGCCACAGCATAGTGAAGAAAACTTAGAAAATGTCTAATCTGAGTGATCACAGAATAACTCACATATGTCATGGTCTTTATTCTTCTCTTGGCTTTAATTCTCCCTCTGCAGCTTCTAGTTCTCCTTTGTTTCAATTCTCCCTAGCTTCTTGTTCATCTAGCCTAAATATACTTTTTATAGGTGGCATGAAGCAGTAATAAAAGAAATTGCATTCCTTTGGGTGAGCAATAAGGGCAAAGTCCTTTACCAGGGCAATGCAAAGTTTCAAGGTTTCTGGTTTAAAACTATGACAAAAGATTGGGGATACAGTGCCTAGTGAGACAAGCTGTGAGACATAGATCTTTTATCAACCAGACTTGGCAAGCAAAGAATTGGCATTATTTTTTTTTAGGCAGCTTTGTGTTAATATCCTGGGTTAGACACCTGCAACTCTGACCTTGTGCATAACTGTAAAGTTTTAAACTTATGATCTGGTTACAAAAACATTTAGTCTGGTTAAAACTTGCTCTGAGGTAAAAATGAGCTAATTATGTACAGTGTTGTCTTAGTCTAAGTTAAAGGAACTAAGTGTCTTATAGTCCTCATGGAACAATAGTTATGAAGCATATCCTAGTATATTTTCTATATATCAAAATCATGATAATTAATCTTCCCGATTATCAGCGGGAATATGTGCCCATAAGACTGAGATATAATCATGAGGTTAAATATACATCATATGAGGGACTGCATACATCAATGCAGAGACTGGGGAGACACCAAACCTGCTCTTGTGCATGTGAAACAAGACAGGAGCAACAGTTTCCAGTCAGTGCTTCTACAGGCTTTGCCTGGATGGGATTCTCCTCCAATAGGGAACCAGTCCTTTGCTGTGTTGACATCTTTACACTAGTTATCACCTAATGTATACTTCCACAGTCCTTGACAGTCCTAATGATCTTGACATGTCCACTTCCTAAAAGAAGAAAGTATAGGGTTTCTCTGCCCACTTAGTTGTATAGATTGTAATTTTAAGAAACTACTAAATTCAGCCATGCTCTAAACAGCTAGCCATGTGCCTGTGATCTCTAGAACCATCCATAATCACAGCAACAGCCAGGTGTGAGGGCACCTTTGCTGGAGTCAAGGATAGCAAGCATCCTTATAGCTCTTCCGCTACTCTCATTGAGTAGCAACTTCCTGTTTCAAGTTAAGCAAGACATTTTATTTAATATCTTTCTTCTACTTTTAGTAACAAAAAACGTACTTCAATTCTCAAAAAAAATTATTTCTAAAGCTCAAATAATAGTCAGAAACATAATTTTAAAGCATCACATATTTGTAGACTCGGGAAAGCTCTGCTGGTAAAGCCTGTATAAACACTTTAAGACCAGAAAGCTTTGGAAATCTGGAATACTTCTGGTTCCCAGCATTTCAGATAATAAATCTGTACTGACACTCTTGGACATACTTTAAAGTACACAGGATCATGTGTCGGGGCTGTATCTGATATGAAGCCAAATAGCTGAATTCTTTTTCCTGGACCACTCTCCTGATTTCTCCAAAGGTCGGATATAAATGAATGATTCCATCTTTGAGTTCTGAGAGAAAAGTGTAAGCACCAGCAGTGCAGATCTCAGGGTGTAGGTAGTTTTCAAAGATAAATCACTTTAAACTTCTAAACATGCCAATTAATGCAAATTATGTATTTTCTACCTTTTCTCTGAGAATAGCTTTTTTTTTCTACAGATCTTTGAAGTAGGACCATCAAGATGGCTCATTAGTTAAAGACATTTGTCACCAAACTGAGTCTGGCTCTTTGAGTTTGATCTCTGGACACAATATTGTTGAAGGAGAGAATCAGTTCACATAAATTGTCTGTTACCTCCATACGTGTGCTTTGTCACACTGTGAATGTTCATACATACACACAGAATCAATCAACCAATCAATCAATCAACCAATCATAGTTTAGAAGATGGAGACTGTAGTAAGTTCCATTCTAATAGGAAGAGAGTAGTATTTTTACTTATTAGTGCTATTCTTGAACTTGTCCTCAATTCTTTAACAAAGGCCATTGTATGTGTATGGGTGTACTGCCTGTATGTTTGTGTGTATGTGTGTACACCATATTCATGCCTGGTACACAGGAGGCCAGAAGAGGATGATGGATCCCCCAGAACTGGAATTGCAGAGGGTTGTGAAGTGCCATGTGGGTGCTGAGAACTGAATCTGGATCCTCTAGAAGAGAAGCTCATGCTCTTAACCACTGAGCCTCCTTTCCAGTCCCTCCTCAATTCTTTAGCTCAGTTTCAGCATCGGAAAACTAAGTGATGGTTCCTCTTTATGTCACTTCTATACAGTCTGACCACACAGTTTTAGATATTGGAGGTATAGATGTTTCAGAGACATTCAGCTTTTCAAGAACAGAACCAATGTGACAAAATGGATTTACACCGGGAACTGTGCTTTTAAAACTAGATACTTGAGTGTGAGGTGATAAACCAGTTTTTTTTTTTGTTTTTGTTTTTTTTTTTAATGTTGGACTTACATAGTATCAGTTTTTAAAAGAGGAGTAGATCCTGTGGTTTCTTTCAAAAACAGATCTTTGAATGTGAAATGCACAACACCTTAAAATTAGATTTTAACTATGAGATTCTTTTGGTAATTTGAATGAGTTTGTTTCATATTTGAAAGGCAGACTAAAAGACACATGTGTTTGTTTTTGCCAGTCTGGAAGAATGCAAAATGAAGGCAGAATTGTGAACTGGAAGCTGATTTTGCATGGGACATCTTCTCAGCCGGAGCACATGAAGCAGCCCCGTGTATACACGTCCTACAACACTGTCCAGAATGACAGGAGAGGAGTGGAGAAGATGGTGAATGTTGTGGAGGTCTGTGTAGCTCTGTTCTTAGCATGTTCTCCCTTGAACAGTAGTAAACAATGAGTGAGTAAAGATGCTTCTAATTTTTAGGAAGGGAAGAAAAAAAACCTTTTTTCCAACTGAATGAATCCTTGTTTTTTTCTTTTGTTCTTAAATCTAGAGTTTACTAATTAAATTCTGTAACATGAATTGTATTCATGTATGACAGCATACTTCATATCAAGCTGTGTTTTACAAAGTTACATATACCTATTATAATATATTATGTAGTATTATATTGCAGTATAATTATTCAATCTTAGCTGGGTGGTGGTTATACACACCTTTAATCCCAAGACTCAGGAAGTAGAGGCAGGTGAACCTCTAGTTCAAGGACAGCTTGGTCTACGAATAAGTTCCAGGATTGCCAGAGCTACACAGAGAAACCCTGCCTTGAAAAATCTAAATATAAATTTAAAAAAGAATGTTTAATCTTGTTTCATTTTAATTATAATCTGTGTAACCTAGACTGAAATATTTAAAGAAAGGAGACCAAGGTTAGTCAGTCAAATCATGTAAGCTTCTCTTTGCTAATTTCTCTTTAGTAACTGACACTTAGCTGACATGCCTTGTCATCAAAAGAAGAGTTATGACATCACAATTTCTCTCAGAAAATTTCTAAGTGTAGCCAATGTTTATCCTGGGTTCAGGAGCTACCAGCTTTCCCTTTTTAGAAACCATGAAGAAACTGCATCTGTTTCCCTACATGACCATCATCTAACATAGTGCCTCTGCTGTAGGAAGGGTTTTAGGATGTGCTGTCCTAGATAGAAAGTCTCTCTACTTGATGTTTTAGAAGATTTCGAGACATGACATTTACATGAGGATCTTATAAACTAACTTTGAGGAAGCCTCACCTAGGGTTCTGGCCCTGTTTGTATTCTACTAAGTGGAGTCTAGGAGCAATTTCTCCACAGTAACTGTCTTTCTCCAAGATTCCTTTCAAAGTATGAACAGGACTTTCCTTGTTAAAATAGTGAAATGTGATCAGTTCTTCAAAGGGTGGGTTCTAAATTTTTGTAGTTAACCATGTATGGATCAAAAATCTTTGAACCAACTGCCTCCATACTGAACACGTGCATACTCATTTTCCTTTATCTTTTACCTTCAATAATGCAATCTAGCAAGTCTTTGCATTGTACTAAGTATTACAAATGGTCTAGCGATGATAGTGTATTCTGGAGGATGTGTGAAGGTTATTCTTCCATTCTACACACTTGAGCATCCATTGATTTTGGAATCATGGAGCATCCTAGAGAAAACTGTATTTCCATAATGGTCGACAAAGAGCCACTTCTCAGATCTCCCAGTTCATATTCCATTCCCTCTCTTCCCGAGGACCTTCTCAGAATCCAATAGCTTCTAACAGGAGCAAGGGTCCTCTAGTCAGCTGCATTTGCACACAGCAACCAACTGATGTCTTAAAAGTGAGCTGTTAAATATTTAATATCATTTCCTCAAACAGATTAGATTGCAGGAGGCTTGAAAGGAAAACAGCATATTGAATGCATACTTGCATAGTCTAAATCTCCAAAACCACCAGACATGAAAGCATTCTAATTTCTACTCTATAGCTAGAATTTATAGATGGGAAAAGCTGCCAAAGGTAAACCAGTAAGGGAGAAAATAAGGGTTGAAATACAAACCCATGTAACTCTAAGCCTTGCGTTCTCTCCACTCTCCAATTGCTTCTCGTGGACTTGTGTTAGGACTGCCGCTCACTTTCCATGCCTGTAAATGAGATTTCCCCCTTTGTTGATGACATTTTGTGTTTTAGGAGCAGCCCACACAAGAGAGCCTGAATGAAAATCTTCTGGTGCCCCAAAGCTCCAGCAGCAGCAGTGTGGAGGGCAGAAGGGACAAGCTGGCACAAGGGGCTCCTTCAGAGGCTGTGCTACGGCTCCTACAAAGTGCTTTTAGCAAAAACCCACCTTCAAAGCAATCACCAAAGAAGTCTCCAGGTGCAAATCTCAGCATCCCCTATGAGAGTTTCTATGAAGCCCTGGAAAAGCTAAACAAACCCTCCAAGCTCGAAGACTCCGAGGACAGTCTTTACAGTGACTACGTTGATGTTTTCTATAATACAAAACCTTATAAGCATAGAGATGACCGGCTGCTGCAAGCTCTTGTGGACATTCTAAATGAGGAAAAGTAATAAGCATGTGGCCCCAAGTTGGAAATATCCACGCATCCTCTTTCCCCTTAGACATTCCTGGGTGTAGCATTGTGTCACTGATTCCTATGCTTATAATGTTCTTTGTGGTACTTTTGCTTTTTCTCCTCAAACTGTACCTTGGGGTGAGTTCCAAAAAGAAAGCCAACTTTCTGAATGGGCCTCAGTATTTAAGAATGTCTTCCCTATCATATGAGTAAAGCAGGTCTTTGTAAAGTCACTGTTGACATGCAGCCCTTTATCCAATGGAATGGCTGCTTGAGCCCCGCCCCCCTTCATCCCATATCTTACAAGAACAGGAAAAGACTGAGAGATGTCGTATGTTTTCTTTCAGAGCCACAAATTCAAGACTCAAAGAACTAATGAATGCCATTTTCTCAGAACAAAATTATGCTTGAGATTGGAAAATTCCTAGTCATAGTTTTGTTTAATAACAAGCAGCCACTCAATAGATAGAGAACCAATGTAATAACAGAGGAAACATTGACTGAAGGGGAGAAGCAATGAGACATTTCCCACAAGTTGTGTTCCTAGGACAGGCTCTTCTGGTTCTCTGTAAATGAGTGTTCATTTCTGGACACCACAGGGACTCCAATCTCGGGGGACAGTATTCAAATCCTTACCAAATTGCTTCCATGGTTTGAATCAGAAAACAAATGGGCAGCACTTAGTTCTTATTTGTTTTATGCAGAATGTTTTGAAAGTGTGAAGGGCTGTTCAAACTGTGAGATTTCACATAAAATCTGATTTCCATACCCATCTTCCATTACAGCAATAGCTGGCTAGAGGTAACACCTCCCTAATACGATTCTAAGTCTAGGCTTCCCTGGCTGGCTTTTTGACAATGGCCTCTTTATTTGTTACTACTCAGTATCCCGTGGACATTTATCCTTTTTAAATTAAAGTGTGTTAGTTGTAGAAACTAAGGTTTCATTTTGACATTCTCCTACAAGTATGTAATGTACTTGGACAATGTCTGTCCCCCATTAACCCATCTTCTGCTTGTCTCCACTTGTCCTCCTCCTCTCCACTGGAACTCCTGCTTCCAATTCCTGTCTTTTCATTTAATCCAGACTCCACATATAAAAAAATGTGATTTTTGTCTTTCTATGCATGTGATTTTGCCCACTCCCACACTAAATGAATCTGTATAAAGTGTAAATGCATTAGGAAAAAGATTTCCCACAATTACTTCCAGGCAGGTTCTGCCATTAATAATTGAGTTTGCTATGACCTAGTTAGCTTGTTGTATTTATAAGTAAAAAGAGTACTTGGAATCCTAAAAATACCTCTGAAGTTTTTTTTTTTTTTTAATATGAGCACTTAATCTTATCTTACCTGGATGTTCATTGTACTGTTCATTAACTGGAGAGTCCTGTTTCCTTCTCTTAACATGCCAACATAGACTCTAGTTGACTGTATGCCTGCATTCTCCAACTGAGTTTCTGTTTGTAAATTTCCTACAGCTTGAGCATCCTACAGCAACGCCTAGCATTGAACTAGTTGAGGAAGGCAGTTCATTTGTTTTTGCTTTGAGTGTAGTTAGTATAACAAATTTCACCTCCTGTTTCTTCATGTGATTTTGTACATACATGGCTCTCTCCAGAGCCTTGCCCATGACACCTAGAAGGTTTGCAGTAGCCATGTCCTTGAAGGTTTTACACTGTGTTTGCTGTAAGGTTTAATGGGATTTTCACTATTGTAACACATTAAAACAGAAAAGAACTTAAGAGTATTACATTAAATTTCACCTAACTAAAAATGGCCTGGAGGATGATATCATTAGTTGACATTTAGTTATTTAAAACAATGAACAGTTTGGAGGTCAACCCCATCCTTTCCTACTCCTTATACTAAACATCAGGAAATTTTACTCAATGCTTTCTAATAGTATCTTTTCCCTGTAAGAACCCCAACCAACTCATGGGCAATAGCCAAAGGTTCACTCTGGATAAGCTTTAATATTTAGACAATACCATGTTTGAATGTTTTCAACCTGGAGTATATATTGTCTAGATATAAAATATTTTTGTCAGTCTTTCTTAGTGCCTACGTGGATTTTTGTGAAAATGTTAAAAATGATAATTATATAATATTTCCCTTGGAATTTTAAGCTATATTTTCTTTACAGGTATTTATAATGCACCACTGCTTTTATCAAACAGAATTTTAAAAGGCATAATAAATTATATTAAAGAATCAAAAGCTTTCATGAAAATAAGAATGTTTCATCCAATAAAATATTTTTGAAAGGCATGTCCCTTTGTGAATGGAAAAGTATATATATAACATATATATGTATATGTATGTATGTGTGTGCGCTTGTATGTGTGTATAAAAGTACATGTATATATGTGTGTATGTATGTGTTGTGATACTAAAAGTTATGTTTACCTAATATCCTAATGCAATGTACAACTGAGTCTAACATGGTCTTAGAATTCTTGATGGAACTTCTACATTATGCACTTGATGTATTAATCAGAATATGTAAAATATACTTATAAATAGAAGAATAAATGGCTCCTCACTAAGTCAAAAAGGAAAAGCTCGTGTTTCCAAGAAAAATAGGTTCTCTCTTTTTCCAAATGTGTTTTCCAAATGGACTTTAGGAAAACAAGAGGTTTTCCATTAAAATGTTGATTAACTCATTTTTAGGAATCCAGTCTTTCACAGAAGCAAATTAAGTACCTACTTGAACAAACACATTCATTTTCCTACCCAACCTAGACTTTCATGTTCATGACAACACAAAAACACTGTGTGACTGAACCTTAACTGAGGCGTTGAGGAAGAGAAAAGGCAGGTAAAACTGAGCAGACTCACTGCCCCAGAGAACTCCTTTGTGACAATTCAGTGTATAGGCCAAAGTAAAGCAGCCAAGCTGTGGCCCTTTCTTTTCAGATGTTCCTTGATGGAGCCTCCAGCCTCCAGCCTCCAGCCTCCAGTCTCCAGCCTCCAGCCTCAGGATGGTCTTCCTTCCTGCACATCCCTCAGAATTCTACAGCTCAGAAACAGACCCTTCAGTCCCTGAAGATGGGTTTTCCCTAACAACCAACTCTCCTTTCTTAAGAAATCAGTCATTTAAAATAAAATAAGACCTCAAGTATTCCACAGGGACTGTTCAAACAGGGCTCTGCCCTCCTAGTCCAGACATTGTTTCTGTGTTAAGCACCATCCAATGCACAAAGACACTTCTCTGGTGACGGCTAAGAGCTGCACTGCATACAGGAAGAGAAATATGAATTTAAAGGTATTGTTACATATACTTAACACAACAACGACAGTGGGTTTACTCCTAAGGCTGTGGGTTTATGGTCACAGTGGTCCTGTCATGTCCAGAAGACACTGTCTCATTCTAGTCCTCCACAACAGCTGGCTCTTACAATCTTTCTAAGCCCTCTTCCATAATGGCTCTGAATCTTGAAAGGGGGGGGGGATGAAATAATTGTTTCATTTGTGGCTTCCCACTCATGGGTTCGTAACCGTATTGGCTGTGCTATCTGTATATATTTTCTCCTGTGAAGCAGGCTTTAATCCAATTACAAAGAGATTGATTACACTCATAACATTTGGGAAAACTGTTTTACCCAAAGGGATATTTTCTAATTTTAAGTGATGACTTAATTCTATAAAGGTATTCAAATAATGTATGGACACAATTTTCACCATACAAAATTTAAAATACAGAAGTATGTACAATACAAACTGTTGGTTCATTAGACAGATACACCCGTGCCCCAGTCCAAGATATATCTAGCAATTTAAGTAAAGTTTCTCTACAATAAGCATTATAATAAAGTTAAAATATAGAAAATTTTGTGTAAAGATAAAATGGCTATAAATATGCTCCTTACTTTTTAGAAGCTTATTATCCATCAATTCAGATGCCCATCAGCTGATGAAGGGATAGTGCAAACATTGTACATATAAACAATGGGATGTTAATCAGTTGAAATGAAAACTGAAATCTTGACATTTTCAGGTGGGTAAGGATGGAACTGAAAATAAATTTGCTGACACTCAGGCCCTTGAGACAAATGCCTCATATTCTTTCTCATTAGAGCTTTGGCCTCAAATCCTTGGTTTTGTGTATTTAAAATTAACATGGAGTAGATATGGAAGGTGAGCAACTAGAAATAAGTATTAACAGAGTGATGCACTTGGTGTGATAGGAGATAGTAGAATACAAATGAAACGATTCATGATTATTTATGATTTGACAAAGCTTACCTGAGATCTGAATGCAAAGCCAGCTACACAAGTTATCCATAGAAGCTTAGCAGTGGTGCATACACCTTTACTCCCAAAACTCAAGAGAAAGAGGCAGATTGATCTCTCCAAGTTCAAGGCCATCCAGAGTGAATCAGTCTAAAAAAGTAAAAGAGTTCACACCTTTAATCCCAGCTCTCATACACACACACACACACACACACACACACACACACACACACACACACACACGTATACTTATATATAAGGAGTTCAGTGCAGTCTCAGAGGGCAGTCTAAGTTTCTGAGGCTTAGTGGAGAGCAGGACAGGCTGGAGATGCAATATGAGGTTCAGTGGATCACCCCTTTGGTTTGAGCATTGGTAGAGGTGAGAACTTTGTAATGGCTGGCTGCTTTGCTTTTCTGATTTTCAGTTTGAATTCCTATATCTGTCTCTGGGTTTTCATTTTTTTGTGCTACAGAGACCAGGAATATGGGGAAGAAGAGTTCAAACTTGGTGCTATGAAACTGAAGGGCTAGATTAAGGCTTAAACAAATAAAATATTGGGATTGGAGAGATGGCTCAGCAGTTTAGAGTGTTTTCTGTTGCAGCAGAGGACCAGAAATTGACCTAGCACCTACATCAGGCAGCTCACAAATGTCCAAGGAATCTGATGCCCCTCATGGCCTCAAAGCGTACCTGCACACCTATGTGTGAATATACACACAAATGATATAAAACAAATCTTTAGAAAAGTAAAGTGTACATGAAGAAGCTATTTTGGGAATGTGTTCTTGCAAACCAAGTAAAAAATTAAAAGGGGCATATTTAATGGTCATACATACATAAGGCACCTCTGGGATTCAAATCCTGTATCTCCAAACTCCTACAGCCACTTTGGAAATCAGTATAGCAGTTCCTCCGGAATATGGGAATCAGTCTACCGCAAGATTCAGAAATCCCACTCTTAGGCCCAAAGGATGCACATTCATACAACAATGACATCTGTTCAACTATATTCATAGCAGCGTTGATTGTAATAGCTAGAACCTGG